GGGGCGTCAAAGGGCGGAGTAAACTAGAAGCCTGGGGATCGAGAGATGGTTGGTCAATCCTCAGCCTCGGTATGGTGGCGAGCTTGCGTAAGATTGGGTCCCTGAGGTCAAAGGATTCAGGGGCAAAATGGGGCTGTCGCATGGCGGAGCAGGCGTCTTTTACTGGGTGATACCCTGTGGCTTTTCCTGACTGTTGGTTTGGATAGGCGTACGCTCCACCACGGGCGGGGAGGGTTTCTTTGCATAGCGCTGCATCATCAGCAACTTTGCATACGTGGGAGGCGAGGCTTTTGGGAATTTTTATTTTTTATTTTGGGAGTTGGATATTTCCGTTTTTGTTCTTTTTTCTTTTTCTTTTTCTTCTCTATTTTTCTTTTATCTCCTAATGCGCACACACGAGGGATTTCGGATTTAGCTGCTTTCTGGGCTTTTTGCCAAAGGTGAAATGTGCTAGCTGCTGGTGTGGATAAGGTAGTCAAGGGCGTGGGATGGCCGTGCTTGTACATAACGAATTGACGAAACTCAGATGCTCTAGATCGCATCTTGGCACCTTTGGGGCGCGCGGTGGCGAACGGGGTCTCGGTGTTGGGCATGGCGTGGGAGGGTTGATGGGAGGGTTGGCGGGTGCGGAGAGAAAATCGGGATGGGCATGCGGGATGATGGGGTTGGTCGGAGCGCGCCTGACGCGTTTTACCTACGATTGTCGTGGCCGGCTGACGGCTTCAAGGTTCCAACTTAGCCCTGCTGCGCGGTTTGGTTCGTGTGTCCTCCTCGGATGGCGCGGACTTTGTGTTCGTGCCCTTGAAGGGGGTTGGCTCTCTGAGAGAACTGATTGTAGTATTCTTGTTCTATGAAGAGGTTGGTTCATGCCCTCGTTGTGGGAGGGAGCAGGGCAGCTCGTCATCCGCACGTAGAGGTGTTCGCCACTGAGAGGGTATGCAATAGGTACGCATTGTTCGACTCTTTATCTACACGAAATTAGACCTGAAACCCTCGTGTCCCGGCCGGCTGGTTGGGAGGGCTGCGCGGTTCCGCTTTGGTGTGTTCATTGGCATGTATATATTTATGGGCCGAGGGAATAAAAAGGCAGGATCGGCAACGCGGGGCACAGCAGCAGGAGAACAGTGAGGCTCCAGTAGCTAGTTGCTACTTGCAATAGGTAGGAGTTGTGGAAATAGGGACATGGGCGTTTTTTTTTTGGAGTTGCTAGGTGGAATATGAATATCCGGCTCGGAACAGGGGTGTCCGAGGCAGGATACGAGAGGTGGACCGAAAGGCCCCCATTAATCATCAGGAGCAGCAATTGGACGTCCGCCCGCCGTCTGGGGAATGGGGAAGACGTGCATTAGCGCGACTCGGGCAAGACTCGGCGGGATATTATCTCTCACACCACAGGTGCAGCAATTGGAAGAGCCGGATGGTGGCGTCTGGCGTCTTTGTGCTTGCTTTGCGGTGGGCGCAAGGGCGGCTAAGCGCTGTGGAAGAAGTCTTTGGCTGTGGAAGACGGGCGTGCATACTACGTCATGCCACCTTGCCAAAATGTAATAGGCAGGTACACATCACATTTTCGGTAGCATCCCGGCGCCTCGCAAGTTCAAAGCTCCGTTCTCCCGCCCGAGCTATTTACCAAAGCTTCAGCCCGCCCATCGACCCCTCATCCTTCCCTCCAGCTCTCTCCGCTCCTCGTTGTCGTCCCTGAATCCTCCCTTGCGTGCTCCATCCTTGGGAAAAACATCCAGCGACAATGGCAGCCTCAGCTCTCCTCAGAAGCAGAGTCCGGAGACCCTCTTACCTTAACAAGCTTGCTAAGGCAGAGGACCTCATTGACCTCTTCCCGCACAACTCGTACATTGGCTGGTCCGGTTTCACCGGCGTTGGTTACCCCAAGTAAGTCACCCTCCTTAGTCCAATGCGCCACCAGAAGCTTACAATCATCGCAGGAAGGTCCCTACCGCGCTCGCCGAGCACGTCGAGAAGAACGGCTTGCAGGGCAAGCTCAAGTACAACCTCTTCGTCGGCGCGTCTAGCGGTGCCGAGACGGAGAACAGATGGGCGCGCAACAACATGATTGAGCGGCGGTCGCCGCATCAAGTCGGAAAGGAGATTGCCAAGGGCATCAACAGCGGCAACATCAACTTCTTCGACAAGCACTTGTCCATGTTCCCGGTTGATCTGATGTACGGCTTCTACACCCTGAACAAGCCGCACAACAAGCTTGATGTCACCATTGTCGAGGCCTCGGCTATTACTGAGGAGGGTGGCATCATTCCCGGTGCCAGTGTTGGTGCCAGTCCGGAACTAATCCAAATGGCAGACAAGGTACGTAGTTTCGCTCACTCTGCGCCATGACGGTATTAACACGTATCGCAGATTGTCATCGAAGTCAACACGGCTGCGCCGAACTTCGAGGGTCTTCACGATATCACCATGACCGACCTTCCTCCCCGTCGCAAGCCCTACCTGATTATGTCTCCTGAAGACCGCATTGGCACCCCTTACATCCCGGTTGACCCGGAGAAGGTCGTTGCTATTGTCGAGTCCGACTACCCCGACCAGACCCAGCCCAACTCGCCCGAGGACGAGTCTTCGCGCAAGATTGCGGCGAACCTGATCGAGTTCCTGAAGCACGAGGTTGACCGCGGCCGTCTTCCCGAGAACCTTCTGCCCATCCAGTCCGGTATTGGCAACATCGCCAACGCCGTCGTTGGTGGTCTTTCTGTGAGTCCTACCAAATTGCTTGAGTTCAAATACGCAGAATGCTGACTACGAGATTAAGTCCGGTGGTGCCAACTTCAAGAACCTCAAGGTCTGGACTGAAGTGCTCCAGGACTCCTTCCTTGACCTCTTCGACAGCGGCAACTTGGACTTTGCTACCGCCACCTCGATCCGTTTCTCCCCTGACGGTTTCAAGCGCTTCTACGACGGCTGGCAAAACTATGCCCCCAAGCTGCTGCTCCGTTCTCAGCAGGTCTCGAACTCTCCCGAGATCATCCGTCGTCTCGGTGTCATTGGCATGAACACTCCTGTTGAGGTCGACATCTACGCCCACGCCAACTCTACTTGCGTCATGGGTAGCCGTATGCTGAACGGCCTTGGTGGCTCCGCCGACTTCCTGCGCAGCTCCAAGTACTCGATCATGCACACTCCCTCGACTCGTCCCAGCAAGACCGACCCCACTGGTGTCAGCTGCATCGTCCCCATGTGCACTCACGTCGACCAGACTGAGCACGACCTGGACGTTGTTGTTACTGAGCAGGTAAGCAATTCTTTATATCGCCATTTTACAGCAACCATGTGCTAACGTAGAATAACAGGGTCTTGCTGACGTCCGTGGTCTGTCTCCTCGCGAGCGTGCCCGTGTCATCATTGACAAGTGCTCGCACCCCGACTACAAGCCCATCCTGCAGGACTACTTCGACCGCGCCGAGTACGAGTGCCTGAAGAAGGGCATGGGTCACGAGCCGCACATGCTCTTCAAGAGCTTCAACATGCACAAGAACCTGCAGGAGAACGGCACGATGAAGATCAAGTCATGGGATGACTAAACGTCACGGCGTTGTTAGTGAAGATTTGAGACGATGAAAATACCAGAAAGATGTCGACGAGATATCATCATTGTTAGGAGTACAGGGGTGGAACTCGATTTAATGCTATGTATGGAACATAGGGTTATTCTGGTGGTCATGGCGCGCGGGGGGATAATGCGTCCGCTGTTTGGTGGGCTTTTTAAGAAGCGAATTTAAATACCACTTGAAAGAGGGGTTGGCGCCTTGGATGGTTGGAAGATACTATCTTTGATTGCGACGCCTCTATTTGTATTAATTCAATGCGAAGAAATACATACCTCAAATACCTCAACCGTGTTTATCGTGTAGAAGAGTGATTGTTGCGAGGAGTAGACGGGAAACGGGACTTTGGAGCCCCGCCATGATCGCCGACCTCCCGCGATGACGCTCTTCCCTCTTCGCAGCAACAACAACAACAAACACCAATACCATACCATACCAACCAACCACACCACGACCCAATGCCACCACCCAAACGCCACGACCCCAGCACCATCGGCGCGCAATCGCCCTTCGACCCAGACGCGTTCCTGGCAACGTGGAGCGCAGCCAGCTCGCTCCCGCTGCAAAACAACGACCTCCGCACCGCCATCATCCGCGCCTTCGACCTCCCGCCTACCGACGACTACGTCTACCACGCTGTCGCGAGCGTCACGCTCGCGCAGGTGCAGCATGCGCTTGGCTTTGGGGGAAAGCATGGGCTGCATGGCTGGTATGTTGCTGAGGGGGAGGGTGCTGGTGATGCCGAGGGGGGAAAGGATGGGAAGCAGGTATGTGACCAGGAATCCCGGTATACGCTGCGGCGGCGCTGGGGGCCCACTGCGACATACATGCACACACACAGAGATGATGGCGCTCGCGTCCTAAGCTAAGCTATGTAAGCTAAGCTGCTGTCCGGTTTCGCGGAGGGATAGGTCGCCCCGCTGTTGCTGCCGCCGCCGCCGCCCGCAGATGTAGAGGCTTATACGGCTGTTTTTGCGGCTGGGAACGCGACGCTGTCGGCTTTGAGGGCGTTGGGTGCGAATGCGAAAAAGGGCTCGTTGAGGAAGGAGGTTGCGGCACATTTGACGGAGCGGCTCTTTCTTGCTGCGCCGGAGGGTGCTGCGTCTGCTACCTCTTCCGCTGGGTCTGGGGCTGAGGCTAGAGGTGAAGGTGCTGCTGCTCCGCCTCCGCCTCCACCACCAGCAACCCTCACGCTCCCCAACAAGAAAAAAAACCCCTTCCCAAACCCCTACCACGACATCTGGGCGTGGTCGTGCCGGGCGCTCGAATGGGCCGGCCCGGTGCCCAGCACCGCACACACCAAGATCTCGCACCACGTGCTGCCGGTGCTGTACCACCACTTCGGGTGCATCGTGCCGTCCTGGGACGCGATTTCGCTGCTGCAGCAACTCGCCGCGCACGCGCCACCCCGGCCCAAGCCCAAAGCCTGGCAGCGCGAGATCCTGGACCTCGGCTCCGGGAACGGGTACTGGAGCTTCTTGCTGCGCAGGGCCGGGCTGCGCGTCACGCCCGTCGACAGCGGCGTTAGCGAGTGGCGCACCATGTGGGTCGGGGACACGGTGCGCGCGGATGGGGTGGGTTTCTTGAAGGAGCGGGAAGGTGCGAGGGAGGCGGTGCTGTTGTTGGTGTATCCGCAGGTTGGGGCTCGCTTTACCGAGAGCGTGCTCCGTGCTTATAAGGGGGATTATGTCGTTGTTGCTGGTACCCAGAATGCCAATGGCTACACGGGGTTTAGCGAGGAGACGGTGGCGAGTTGGATGCGCAGGGAGATGCCGGACTTTGTGCCGTGTGCGCAGGTGCCGTTGCCGAGCTTTGCGGGCAAGGACGAGGCGCTTTTTGTGTTTGTTAGGAGGGGGGAGGAGTAGGGTTGTGCTGCCCGTTGATACTGTCTGGGGCTTCTGGCTTTTGGAAAGACGCGTCATGGTCTTAGTAGCAGGGACAGGTAGGAGTTCGCTGACTAGGTTAAACGTCGTAACCGGTCTGTCTTAAGGCGAGTGTAGAGTGTAGTTAGATGGGAGGGAGGAAGGGATGAGCTAGCGTCACGCTTCCGGTTACTTGAAGAAAGTAAGGAAGAAAGAATTGGACTTTTGAATTACTACGGTGTCGTTCCGTACTCTCCAAACCCGTCTAATAAGACCTCAGCCCCGCAAGGTCTTTTCTTCGCCTCCCCCCCCCCTCTCTCTCTCCTCGCGGTACTAGCCGAGGACCAGGATATATCCCAAGTGCAAGATTTCCAGAAGTCATTAAGCGTCGTGTCTCTCTTACTCCAGCGTACAGTTTCAAGGGAACGTCAACCCATTGACGACGTCCCTAATAAGTAAATTTTGTTTTGGTGGTGTGCAGACGAAAAAGAATGTAAGGCGCTCGCGCAATTTAGTCGTCGTTCGAGTCCTCGACAGTGGCGGGCATGGGCTTGGTGGGTGAGGTGCCGAGGCGCTCCCTCTTGAGCTTCTTGGCTTCAGGCTGACCCTCGTCCAAAGGTTCAGCGGTGGGGGCATCGGGGAGGCGCTTCGCGAGGGTCTCACCTTCTGCCGTGTCTTCCTTGTCCTGCGTAGCTTGTTGTTGTTGTTGATGTCCGGGCTCGGGTGCGGGCGGGAAGTATTTTCTGCACGGAACGCGCTGCGTCAGTGTCGCTCTTCCACCAGACTGGACTGGAAGGATAGAGAGGGAGATTGGGATGGGGGACAACTTACGGAAGCGTCGTCGCGTACGCGTCCTCGTCCTTCGGCAGGAAGTTGCAAAAGACAATCCGCTCGAGCAAGCTGCCGGCGCCCTGCTCATCCAACCAACTGCGCACTTCGCCGACGGCGACCTCGGCCGCCTCGTCGCTGGGGTAGCCGTACACGCCCGTGCTCAGCGCGCTGAACGCAATGCTCCTGCAGCCGCTCTCCTGCGCCAGCTGCAAGCTGCGCCTGTAGCAGCTGCGCAACAACGACTCGTGCGTGCCGCGCGGCCGCGTAATCGAGTAGACAGGTCCGACCGTGTGGATGACTTTCTTGGCCGGCAAACGGTAGCCCTCGGTGATCTTGGCGTCGCCTGTCTCGCACCCGCCCAGCGTCTCGCACTCGTCGAACAGCTCTGGCCCCGCGGCCCGGTGGATGGCGCCGTCTACGCCGCCCCCGCCTAGCAGCGACTTGTTGGCTGCATTGACGATTGCGTCGACTTCGAGCGTCGTGATGTCCGTCCGGATCACGCTGATCACGTCGTTGTAGCCGTGGTTTGCGGCGGCGGCTGCGGCGGTGGTGGTGTTGTTGGGTGCTGCGCCGAGCTTCTTGAGCTTGTACAGCAGGGTGAGCGTCGGGATTTCGGTGAGCGGCACCATGTTGTTGGCCATTTTGGTGAGAAGGGGCATGAGTAGTAGTGGTGGTGGTTGTGTGGGTGAGAAGGCGTGTGGTGTCGTTGTTTTTATGCTGGGGTGGTTAAGCGCGCGGCGCGGAGTGTTACTTACGGTACCAGCTGGAGCTTGAGCTTGGGCCAAGTGGGGGTGGTGTCAGGGTACCCCAGTGACGCCACTCTTTCCCTGCCTGCCGCTACTTCTTCTTCTTTTCGAATCTTCGTGAAGTTACCTTGGATGTGAGCTCCATGGCAGGTTAACACTACCATTTTTGTTATAGCAAGTTGTCGGTTCGCTATCATCTACCGAAAACGTCTCACTGTGCGCTTATAGGATCCCCTTGCGGTCTTAGACATCCTCACTCCGTATCTTCGTGTCCTTTCAGGTACCTTTGTACCCTCGTACCCTGTCTTCTTGTATCTCTTTGTCATTCATTCACTAAGGGTGTCTCAATACCAATGAACTTCTGACAAGGGTGAAGCTGTGTGTATAACGATAGGTCAGACTTTAGTATATTTCAGGCTCAAAACTGCAGCCCGGTTCCCATTAAAACCGACTCTTTATGAGGTTTATCTTCGTATAGTAGCAAAGGTATGATTCTCCCTCTCTTTTGCTCCCGAAGTCGGCTCTCTGTCTTAAATAAACCCCTTGTTTGCTCAATCTGGAAACATCACCTCAAATCGACCCATTGACTTTTCCTTTCTTTGTCTTATACCCACGCTTGGGCTTCTTTATCAATCCCATCGACATATCACGTGGCTAATCTTGTCTTCTTATAGGTACAAGTAAAGCCCCTCCAGCCTAACAATCAGCATAATTTCAACACAATGAGTATACAATGTTGTCTCCCACCGCAACAATTATATCGTTGCCACAAGAGGAATGTATATATAAACAACCCAACACTGTCCATGTCAAACAGGCCACTCATACCAGCAATCTTCGTTTACGATCATCTCGCACTCAGCAAACTATTCTAACGTAAAGCCAAAGACAAGCCGTCTCGTTCTAAGTGCTGGCATACAAACATGGACCCATTTGAGATTGAGGACTTTGAGATTGGGAATCCACTGTCGAGAACTGGTAGAGATGTCATGGTATTCGCGAATGACTGCATGAATTGCCATGCAGGAAGCTGCGAAATGCATGATCATTACGCTCGCCTCAGCGCGAAAGTTGTTGACGACCCCGATGCCCTTTCCAAGGGTTAATTCATACTGACCGGACTTAGGAAGTTGTTGACGACCCCAATGAGCTTTCTGGCAGTTAATGCAGGGAGCTCCAAGGAACATGATCCTTGCGTTGACCCCAGCGAGAAAGGTGTTGACGACCCTGATGCGCTTTCCAAAGTTTCATTCATACTGGCCCGACTTCCAGTGGAACTAAGGCTTGAGATAGCAGTCGGTATGCACCCTCTCACCGTCATTAGTCTCAAAATCACACCCGGTTTCGATGAGCTATGGGCACACCATGGACATTGGATGGAAAGCCAACTATTCAAGCGTTACTTTCGCGAAGAACAAGCTGTGTTCCCACGCCAACCTGGGATGAACAGCCCCTATCCATACAAACGGCCCCTCTTCAGCGAGGACACCTCTGTCGCGGCATACTTCCTCTTCCTAGACAATATATCTTTGGCCACGACAGCCATAGCGGCCTACCTTACGAAGGAGTTTGATCTCCAGGATGGAGCCCTACCTCGAGTGAGGAATGCTATTCTCCGCCTGTGGCGTTGGTTTGGCACAATGGAAGCATGTCCTCCAGCCCTTCGCAAGGAGGACATCTGGGACTACCTCAGCAGCCTTCCCCCTTCGACGCGGGAAGAGATGTACACGACACTTTCCTGGATTGGAAGTGCCTACTTACAAAAGTACGGCATGGAATGGAGGGAAGGCGTAGCCTGGCGTAAGATCGAGGAGCTCCGGTTCCACCATGCCGATTTATTATGCACGACATACATGTGTATGGAGCACATACGCAACGGCATGGCGAATGTCCGCAAGCAGCTGTCCGCAGCTCAGTCACTCGACATCAACGAAGCCTTTGGCCATCCTTCTAACTGGTGGACTTGGAAACGTTGGGAAACAGGGCCTTACAATCGGCTGTACCCGATTCCGACGGCCGAAGACACCTACGTCATCGATATCGTTGGCACTCGTGCAGATGGCGAAATCTGGATGATGGAGCCCAATGAAGACGGCGACTACCTGCACGTGTTGAAGGAGGCCATTCCCTTTCCCGTTGGTACGCAATTTAACTGGAGGCAAGGTATTCCCATTGAGCTGGATTTCCCTTGGGTGTTCGAGAGGATTGCCTATTGGCATTGGGCTGAGTGGAAGTACGAATGTCTTGGTATCCGACTTTTGATGAGTGAGCCTTGAAGCCACATGTCGAATACTATGGACGGTGGAACCCATTCGACTAAGCTCAACGGAAAGGGAAATGAGTGGTTGTAGAGCTTGATAGGACAAGGTCATCGAAATGTTCAAGGTAGACATGATTTGTGGTCGGTGCTATTGTCTGAACTTCGTTATTAGGTAGGTCATGCTGGCATGACTGCATATATAGATAACATGGATTTTGTTTCTAGACATATTTCCCCCAGTATTCTGGGCGATGTATTGAGCCGGTCAAAGGCGTGCAATGCTGTGAAAATCGACGTGCATATATGAAGCCTTTTTGTAATAGACTAGCGAGCGTTTTGGCGTAGAGGCCAATATCGCCGAGCGTTGCCTCACCTAACATTTTTATAACAAGCAGACACTATCCCATTGAAAACGGCGTACATGTGATTTACTGGAAAGTCGAGGACTACCTTCGAATATCGACATTGGTTTTAACACTTTCACTGAATGACAGTGCACGGACTCTACACGGAAATGATATGTTGTTTCTTTGTGACAATGCCCAACGAACATTGTAAATGTTCGATGCGAGTCGAGAACATACAACTCTTATAATGCCAGAGCTATACCTTAGCACTCACCTCTCGGTAAACCACGTATATATATTCCCGAGCTCAGGCATATCTACGACCGCCTCCATTCCCAACCCGATCACAAACCAACTTCACCTTGGCATTCGCAATGGCCGTCGCTCTCAACGCCGGTCTAATCACGATCCCGCCCGATAGAGACGTCCTGCTGATGACGAACGACTGCCTGAACTGCCATACCGGCAGCTGCGACCTGCACGATTACTTCAACTACGAGCTAGCAGCAAGCGTAGGCAGCAGGTACCGGCCTCAATGCCACGCAATTAACCTAGTCAAAGCCGTCTCGATATTGAGAAAGCTTCCGGCGGAGCTGCAAATCAACGTGCTCGTGCTAATGCAACCGCTTTCCTCAATCAGCTTGATGGACAGCTGCGCACCCTTCAACCACCTCTGGAAGGACCACAGAACCGTCATCGAGAACAGGATCCTCGAGACTCACTGCTCTGTGTGGAGGATTTTCTTCCCCTACCGGACTGATGGAAACGGAAGAAACAAGCATCTTCGCGGCTTGATGGACGCCGGCTTCTCGTTCTCGCAGTACTTCATGTTCGTCGAGAAAATCTCGTATGCGACGGGCGTGATCACTCACTACTTGATGAGGACCTTCGACATTGATACGCGCACCCTGGAAGCCCTATACGCGAAAAGCACCGGAGGCACAGTGGACAGGACGAGAGGCATCTACAACTCCATCTTCCACCTTTGGTGCTATTTCAGCTACCTGCCCACCTGTCCTCTGGCCGATCGCGAGCGGAGCATTTGGGACTACATCATCAGTCTGCCACAGTATCAACAGAAGGGCTTGCTCACCTTCCTCCACATGCTCGGCAAGGCGTACAACAATAAATACCCGGTGAGCTACGACGGACGATTTTCGGAGCGGCAAGTGAGAGAGCTACAGTTCTACGGGATCGAAGAAAGCCTGGTTGCCTATGCAGTCATGGAGCACCTGCGCCAAGGCATGCGCCTCGTGCGCTGCCAGGTGTTCGACTCGCGCCCGGTGGATCTGGACTTTGCATTCGGCGACCCCGCCACTTGGTGGTCGCGTCAACCCTTGCCTGCTGTGCGCGTTCCTCCGACCTGGAAATTCATCTCCCAGGACACCTACCTTGTCAGATTCACTGGCTCAAGCACCGCTGGTAGCATCGATGTCTGGATTCCTGTTATGGACATGCTGAAGGGAATCACTATGGCTATCAATACTCCCCAGGGTACTACAGTCGACATGGCGGCGGTTCAGAACTACCTGACGGCTGGCTTGCAGTACAGGATTCCCCGCTGGGACTATTGGAACTTCTTCGAGTCGCGACCTGGTTACTACGGTAGTAGAAGGCTGTACCTTGATCGACTGTTCGGTGAGGCTGAATACGAGTCTACGTAGAGTAAGCAAGAGCGGATCACTTGCTCTGTGCAGAGGTTCCGTTGCGGCTTTTCACTATCCCATCATTTCTGTTTGGAGAGCGTCATGTTTTCATCCCCAGTTTGAGCTTCCTTTACGATGAACTAGAGTCGTGCTATTATGGATAGACAGCACAATACAATTATAGAAACACTTCGATATTACGACCAGAATAGAACTCAGGTCACTTGTGCACCCGCTTGGTGATCATGGTAACTTCCTGCCCATTTGATATTAGCCGTGTAACTTTACCCGTACCAATCACGTAGTCACAGCTGGACAACGTGCGACTATAATTTTCCTTTTTCTTTATTGCCGCATGCCTCGAAGGTCCAACATTTGGGACAGTGTTTTCGAGAAAAGATCGTATACCTTTCTTGAAGCAATACCACAGTTGGGGTAGATACAGTTACTCATCTTCATAGTGAGCACGGTTGGTATACTGAGGCTTGTGAATAAGCTAATCCAGCTTCCCTAGCTTTAAAATTTACTATATCAATCAAGTCTTCTGTGATTGGTTGAGAACTGCCAGTTGATTGATTTGAAATGAATGGTAGTACGCGCATCCTCGTGAGATGATTTTCAACCTTGAACAGATCTCTGGATGATACAAACCCAAGTGAGTCAACCTCGCCGATGCCTTCTCTTTGCTCGTCTTCATGAAATTGGCGGTGCCCTCTGTAGCGTTCTGCCTCCGAAGCTTGGTTGAACGCGGTATCGATGTCAGACGCGGCGTCTCGGACACCGCATCCGATTATGGACACCGAGCCCAACCATGTGTGTCGCCTTCAACTATGGACACCGCATTGACTCGTGACTTTACACGTTGAGTAGTATTGGAATGAGTAAGATGCCCAGCGGAATGACTGCGCTGCCAGGTGTTGGTAGGATAGTGCTGAGTCCATGTATGCCTTGGAAGCATAGTATCTGCCGGCAATGCGTGTTTTCTGATTTCGGGAAGGATCTCAGATGGGCAAGAAAGACCGAGTACGGCTTGGCCTTTGGCATCTGGCCAACTGCCACTTCGCTTCGAAGCAATCGCGCACTGTCCAGCGCAAGAACGATTGCAAAACTTCTGTGATAGTGAGCCAAAACTTCTGTGAGTCAACGGCGGCCCATGGCAGTGTATAAAGCACAGCAGGAACGGCAGAGAGTGGATGGAAGCAGTCGTAGCGGCGATCGGTTGATCCAATGCAGAGACCCACGATGATGGTCGGTCATCCGGAGTTTAGAGAGCAAACGCCGCCGCACACACAGCTTCCAGTCTGCCGCCCGGTGTGACTCAACGCGAAGCTCCCACGCACGCAGCAACAACAACCACGGGAAAGCACGGAAAGTGCCTGCTTGAGAGATGCTTTGACTCGTCTGAAACGCTGACAGTGGCGAAGTTCGGGGGGTAGCGGGCTAATGATGCATGCATGGACGCTGATGAAGACTGGAATTGCCGCTCGCCTGATCAAGGATTTTTAGCGAAGCGACTGGCGCCCCACTGCTGCCACCGCAAAACCATCCCACTTCGAACGGCCGCTGCCCAACCTTTCCTCCTCCACAACCCACCTCGGTCATCTCGAAGGTTTAAAAGGCATCCGCGGCCTTTAGGAACCTGTTCGATTGATCGTAAAGCCACACACTCTTAAGGCCCTGCCCTTCAAGACCTACACGTTCGTCAGAGCGTCTCACTCCACAAAGCGGGGTACATCGAACCTCGAGACAAGAATTTTTCAGTAGAGACATCAGCGCAACACCGCCAAGATGGTCAAGTAAGCTCCCCATCCCCTCGCTCTCCTCATCCAGGCCCGTTGCTCGCTGCCCCAGTGTCGACGGGAAGCTCGGAATCGCACAATCGCACTATTGCCCGCACACCATGCTAACGTTTCGCTCGCAGCTTCACGGTCGAGGAGGTACGTCTACGCATACGAATACAGATAGCAATGAGATGGGAAATGCTGACCAGATTGAAAGATCCGTGGTCTCATGGACGAGCCGAAGAACATTCGTAACATGTCCGTCATTGCCCATGGTAAGTCGAGACCCACGATTGCTATCACGGACAGCTTCTGACAATCATCGCAGTCGACCACGGCAAGTCTACCCTTACCGACTCCCTCGTCCAGCGTGCCGGTATTATCTCTGCCGCCAAGGCTGGTGAGGCCCGTTTCACCGACACCCGTCCCGACGAGCAGGAGCGTGGTGTCACTATCAAGTCCACCGCTATCTCTCTGTACGCTCAGCTCATCGACGAGGAGGACCTCAAGGACATTCCCGTCCCCACCACGAAGAACGACTTCTTGATCAACTTGATCGACTCCCCCGGTCACGTTGACTTCTCTTCTGAGGTCACTGCTGCTCTCCGTGTCACCGATGGTGCGCTCGTTGTCGTCGACACCGTTGAGGGTGTCTGCGTCCAGACCGAGACTGTCCTGCGTCAGGCTCTTGGTGAGCGTATCAAGCCTGTTGTCATCATCAACAAGGTTGACCGCGCTCTTCTCGAGCTCCAGGTCTCCAAGGAGGATCTGTACCAGAACTTCTGCCGTGTCATTGAGTCCGTTAACGTCGTCATCGCCACCTACTTCGACAAGAACCTCGGTGACGTCCAGGTCTACCCCGACAAGGGTACCGTCGCTTTCGGTTCCGGTCTTCACGGCTGGGCTTTCACCGTCCGCCAGTTCGCTTCCAGGTACGCCAAGAAGTTCGGTGTTGACAAGAACAAGATGATGGAGCGTTTGTGGGGCGACAACTACTTCAACCCCAAGACCAAGAAGTGGACCAAGGTCGCTCCCGAGGACGGTGAGCGTGCCTTCAACCAGTTCATTCTGGACCCCATCTTCCGCATCTTCAACGCCGTCATGAACTTCAAGAAGGACGAGATCCCCAAGATCCTCGACAAGCTTGAGATCAAGCTTACCGCCCAGGAGAAGGATCTCGAGGGCAAGCAGCTCCTGAAGGTCGTCATGAGGAAGTTCCTTCCTGCCGCTGACGCTCTTCTTGAGATGATGGTTCTTCACCTTCCCTCCCCCGCCACCGCTCAGAAGTACCGTATGGAGACTCTGTACGAGGGTCCCCAGGACGACGAGAGCGCCATTGGTATCCGTGACTGCGACCCCAAGGCTCCTCTCATGCTTTACGTCTCCAAGATGGTTCCCACTTCCGACAAGGGTCGTTTCTACGCCTTCGGTCGTGTCTTCTCCGGTACCGTCCGTTCCGGTCTGAAGGTCCGTATCCAGGGCCCCAACTACACCCCTGGCAAGAAGGAGGACATGTTCATCAAGGCCATCCAACGTACCATCCTGATGATGGGTCGTTTCACTGAGCCCATTGAGGATGTTCCCGCCGGTAACATCCTGGGTCTGGTCGGTATTGACCAGTTCCTGCTCAAGTCTGGTACCCTTACCACCAGCGAGACTGCGCACAACATGAAGGTCATGAAGTTCTCCGTCTCCCCCGTCGTCCAGCGTTCCGTCGAGGTCAAGAACGCCAACGATCTGCCCAAGCTCGTTGAGGGTCTTAAGCGTCTGTCCAAGTCCGACCCTTGCGTCCTTACCATGATCAACGAGTCTGGTGAGCACATCGTTGCTGGTGCTGGTGAGCTCCACCTCGAGATCTGCTTGAAGGATCTTGAGGAGGACCACGCCGGTGTTCCTCTCCGTATCTCCGACCCCGTTGTCCAGTACCGTGAGACCGTCGGTGCCGAGTCCCGCATGACTGCTCTGTCCAAGTCTCCCAACAAGCACAACCGTCTGTACCTCACTGCCCAGCCTTTGAGCGAGGAGGTTTCCAAGGACATTGAGAACGGCAAGATCACCCCCCGTGATGATCTTAAGGCTCGTGCCCGTTACCTTGCCGACGAGCACGGCTGGGATGTCACCGATGCCCGTAAGATTTGGTGCTTCGGTCCCGACACCAACGGTGCCAACGTCCTTGTCGACCAGACCAAGGCCGTCCAGTACCTCAACGAAATCAAGGACTCCGTCGTCTCTGGTTTCCAGTGGGCCACCAAGGAAGGTCCCGTTGCCGAGGAGCCCATGCGCTCCATCCGCTTCAACGTCATGGATGTTACCCTTCACGCCGATGCCATTCACCGTGGTGGTGGACAGATCATCCCCACTGCTCGTCGTGTCCTGTACGCCGCTACCCTGCTTGCCGAGCCCGCTCTTCTCGAGCCCGTCTTCTTGGTCGAGATCCAGGTTCCCGAGCAGGCCATGGGTGGTATCTACGGTGTCCTCACCCGCAGGAGAGGTCACGTCTTCGAGGAGGCCCAGCGCCCCGGTACTCCTCTGTTCAACGTCAAGGCCTACCTGCCCGTCAAGGAGTCTTTCGGTTTCAACGCCGACCTCCGTTCCGCCACCGGTGGCCAGGCCTTCCCCCAGTCCGTCTTCGACCACTGGCAGATCCTTCCCGGTGGCTCGGTTCTCGACAAGACCTCCATGTCCGGTGCGATCGTCGAGGAGATGCGCAAGAGGAAGGGTATCAAGCCCGAGGTTCCCGGCTACGAGAACGTAAGTTTGACTGTTTTCATGCTATTATATTTGATCTTAAAGCTAACTTTTTCATGCAGTACTACGACAAGTTGTAAGGGATTTCTGCCACAAGTTGACAGAAGTTCTTTCCGCCCATACAGTCGGTCATCGTGGCATCATCGGGGCAGTCCATCATCTTTGTCCTCGCCCATGATCATGGCGGCGGCATAAGTATCTCACAAAAAAAGCTCGATCAGAGATATGATGGATGATTGGCAGACGGATATCCCAAAGTCGGCAGATGGTCGACAGTTGATGATGCACTATTGATGTCCTTTTCCTTGCAAGTTCCTTATTATGTACGTAGGGCGCTAGAACCTGAAACGACATGAACACTCATGCTTGTCCGCCATTGCAATTGTGAATGAAAATGTGCAGTGAAACGGGCGCGGTGCGGATGCACGTGCGCTTTCTACGTCACGTGCGAGGTAGCGCGTCATAGCGCGCTTTTGCCCAGCGATTTTGGATGAAGCATACCTCGACCATCATCTGCCCTCTCCAAGCTTCCCTCTCCCGAGACACTCGATCGCGATTCCAATGCAGCACCGCCCTTAACAACGACACCGCTCCTGCACTACCTCCCGCTCTGATCGGAATCCGCCTTGCGACGCGACACACATCCCGACACTGCCAAGATGCATGTCGAAGACGCAGACACTCCGTTACTGAAGACGTGGATTGTCAAGAGACTCGAAGACATGTCCGTGTCACCCGCTCTAATTGCCCTGCTGCAGCTACTGACTTTTTTCTGCAAAGCTCTGACGCCGATTCCGACGTTCTTGCCGATTACGTCCTCGCGCTCGTAAAGTCCGAAGACCCAGATGAGCAGGTAAAGAGCAACAGCTTGGAGAACCTCGAGGACTTTCTGCACAACCGTATGTTGCGCGCCGCCCAATTTCCGACGAGCGCCATTAACACTAATAAAAACAGATACTGCCTCGTTTGTCGACGACGTTATAAGCGCTGTCCACACGAAATCCTTCATTCCGGGTCACGGTGCGCCTCAGGTTCTTCAGGCTACCGCGCCTCCGTTTAATCCGCCTAGTGGTCCAGCCAACGGAAACCGTCGGCCGAGCGCGCAATTTCAGAATGGCTTGTATAACGGCGGGGCAGATCAGTCGCGCAAGCGGACATGGGGTGATCGCGCGGGCAGCGAGCAGCGCGACGGTCAAGACTCGCATTACGGGCGCGGCGCTGGCGGAGAAAGGGCAATGAAACAGATGCGCCGAGGAGGTCACCAGGGTGGTGGGCGCGGAGGACGATTCGGTCAAGAGATGAACATTCCCGGCTTGTCAGGCGTTGGGCAAGGATCAATGCCGTCAATGCAGAACATGCCTCCGATGCCCACCCCGCCACCCGGTTTCCCACCGATCGACCCGAACAACCCATTGAGCGCCATGCTTGCCATGCAAGCCATGGGTGGATTCCCACCGATGCCTGGCATGCCTCAGCTCCCCATGGCCGGATCGCCGCCAAGCTTTGGGCAGGGTCCGTCGAGATTCCCGCAGGCTGGCTCTCCACCGCCCAAGAGGGTTGGGGAAAGATGTCGCGACTATGATACGAAAGGCTTCTGCGCGCTCGGCAGCGTCTGCCCATATGAGCATGGTGACAATCCCATAATTGTACCGGCAGATGGTGCGAAAAAATCCCCTTTCCCCGACCTACCACAGCCCGCCAGGCGCGGCACCATCGAGATAGCTAACCCGGAAACTGCAGAGTACGACCCCAAGAACGCCTCTATTGACACTCATCGCAATACGAATGGCCACCACGGACATGAGCGTCCTCATCATGAAAGAGGCCGCGGTGGTAGAGGGCGTGGACGTGGAGACGGTGGACGTCGTGGTGGACGCGCAGCCTTTTCTTCAGCCGGCCCTAACCACGACCGTTCTATTACCGCGATTGTTGTCGAGCAGATACCCGAAGACAAGTTTTCGGAAGAAGCTGTTCGGGAATTCTTCTCGGAATTTGGAAATATCGAAGAAATCACGATGCAGGCCTACAAGCGCCTGGCCATCGTCAAGTTTGATGATTACTGGGCGGCGCGTCGTGCATATGACAGCCCGAAAGTCATATTCGATAACCGGTTCGTGAAGGTCTATTGGTATAAGCCGGAGACTATGGGCCCGGACGCAAATGGCAGGCAGGGCAGTGAAAGCGCCAAGAAGGACGAGGAAATGATTGACATGGCCGAGGTGGAAAGGAAACAGGCAGAAGCACAAAAAGCGCACGAGGAAAAGCAGAAGAAGCTCAAAGAAGCGGAAACGCAAAAGGCAGAGTTGGCGGAGAAGCTCAAGGCGCAAGCCGAAGAACGGAAGAAGCTGTTGGAAAAACTGGCCGCGAAAACCGCAGCAAAGGGACCTTCAGATGCTCCTGCTGTCGACGAAGCGATGACCGATGCAGGCGAAGGCGCGAACGGCACCGCAGAAGGGGAAAAGAAGAGTGCGCTGACGGAGAGCTTGAAGCTGAAGCTCGCACAACTGGAGGCCGAGGCAGAAAGCATGGGCTTGAATCCCAACGAAAGCTACGGCTCCAACCCTTACCGTGGGCGCGGTGGACGTGGCGCGCGCGGCGCTTTCCGTGGCCGCGGTGCTTATGCGCCCAGAGGACGTGGTTTCGACGCCTACCGGGGATCTTACCGTGGCCGTGGTGGCTTCACGGGCGCGCCTTATGGCGGCGCAAGAGGCGGCGCTGTGAAGAGGTTAGATAACCGGCCGAGGAGGATTGTGGTGTCGCTTCCTGGCGAAGATGGCGAGTGGACGACGGACAAAGACGAGGCACTTAGGAGTTATCTTTTTGTGAGTTTTGGTCTTGGAGAAGAGTTGAAAGAGATTCTTGCTGACAATGGTGCCATCTACAGAACAACTTCGAGTTCGAGAGCGTCGAGCCGCATGAGGAGCACAAGAACGCGCAAATCGTTGCCTTCAAGGAGCGCTACGTCGCCGAGAACGTACGTCCCCCCGTTGCTTCTCCTTACCTTTACAGATAGAAGAAAGCTAACCTGACTTTTTTTTTTTTTTTTTACAAATAGTTCATAACGCAATCCACGAACATCCCCACGGTAGGCAAAGTCGACCTCTCATGGGCCCCCAACCCGCCCCTCCCGCTTCCGTCCACAGCCGCACCGGGCTCCGATGCCGCGCACAAGGCCGGCGACGCCGACGTGTCGATGGGCGATTCCACTACCGCGCCCTCAGAGACCAAGCACGGCGAGGCCGCAGACATGGAGTACGACGTTGCGGACGACGACGAGCGCTGGATGGCTGCTTAGCGCCGCCAAGCGCGCGACGAGTGACGCAGAGATGCGTTTGTGCGGGCGTGCTGCAATGCAAGACGGCGAGCTAAGGGCGCGCGCCACGTGAACGAACGGGGCGTTCAAGCCATGCCGTGCCTGCTTGCTCTACTGCAGGCACGAGAAACACAACGCTTCACGGCGCGTGCGCGCGCAAGGACAACGAGAAAAAGCAAAGCGGCATACAGTACCCCCGCCTTCCATACATACCATTCTCCTACAAAAAACAAAAAGTAAAAAACGAAAACATCGACATCGGCAGGGGCACCAAAAAAAGCAAAAATGGCAGGCATTGCAACAGGGCGTCAGGGAACCTGAGGGGAGCATTCACGTAAACAACAGGGTGACATGACATGGGATAGGATGAAGGGGACAGGTGGGCGGAAAGCTGTTGTGCTCGTTTCTAGCGCTGGGGCTGGGGCAGGGCAGGTTGGCGGGGTTGGGCTGAGTAGGAGTAATGAGTACGTGCGAATTGAATCGAATTGTATAGTTGGCTGCTGCTGCCATGGTGGTTACCTGTGTTTATGCTTGTGCTTCTGCTTCCGAGCGTTTTTGTGGGTTTGGTTGTTTATATAAATACCTAGGTACATACCTATGGAAGTCTTGACGCAGCTGGCATCGTCCGGACCATCTCGTCTCGATCATTTAATGAATTAATACTCCATTTGATTGGCTTTCCTCGTCCGCGCCTACGTAGTGTATGTATGTATGTGTATAAATATATGTTTGTCGTACGCATCCACCACCAGCAACCCGACAACCAGCGCGTCGCAGCCTCTTCTTGCGCGCACCGTCTCCTCTCGGCAAGTACCTACCAAGGTAGGTACGCGCCATCTCGCCGCACAGAACTAGGTAAGTAGGTACGCGCGTCTTGTCAGCGGCGGCGGCGGTAGCCAGCATAGCAGCGGCAACCAGACGCAGGCAGCGCACATATATGCGCACGCGTGCGCGCGCGTGTGTATGTGTGTGGCAGTAGCAAGGAGTCCGTCCTCCACCGCGCAGGTAAAGTGAAGTGTTTGTTCTTGGTGAAGTGTCCGATAGATTGAGCAGACAACCTCCGCCCTCGCCGTGGTCGTGGTCGCCGTCCGGCGGCGCGCATCTCACTCACTCTCGATCTCACTCTCGCTCTCGATCTCGCTCACTCACTCGTGTTCCAGCCGGGTATCCAACTCCAAAGCCATAATCGTACAAAGCCTGTCCCGTACCGTCCCGTCCCGTTCCGCCACGCCCTCGCCACCCAAGCAAAACAACGCCACCAACAGCACCAACAGCAGCAGCGCACTCAGCGCCCCCCGCGCCTCGGCGGCGTCTCCACCTCCACCTCAACCTCGTACTCCTCCTCCTCGTCCTTGAAGAAATCCGCAACCGAGGTCTTCTCGTCGCGCGCGCGCCGCGCATCAATCATGAAGCGGACGGTGCCGCCGAGGCCGCGGCTGCCAATGGCCGAGATGGGCTGCTGCTGCGGGGCAAAAGGGCTGGCGCTGCCGCCGTTGGCGGGCCTTGCGCCGCCGCCGCCGCTGCCGCTACCGTTGGTCGCCGAGGGCCGGGCGGGCTGCGTCTCCGTGTAGCGCGGCAGGCTTTTGGCGGTGGCTTCTTGGTTGAGGGCGAGGCGGACGTTGATGAAGGTGTCGAGGGAGTAGGAGGGCCCGATTAGGCTGTTGGGCCGGTGGTGCGTGTACAGGTCGAGCAGGTCCATCATTGTTTCTGGTGCGCTGGGCGTTAGTGCTTGGTGTTGAGGGGGTTTGGCTACTGTGCGGGGCGGGACTCACCCATGACTTCGGCCCGGCTGACGTGCCATCTTGCGTAGTCGATGCCCTGCTCGCCCGTGACGAGAGTCATGTTGGCTCTGCAAAGACGTGCTGAAAGCTCGACACAGGCGATAGCCATGGCCGGGGTCGTCTGCTTTAGCGGAGCAAAGGTGCGGTAAAGATCTAGTGACATGCTGTAGGCTGTCCTGCCTACGTTTTCTTTGGCAAACCCGCAAGCTTTCACGAGCTTGATGACAAGCTTCTGCGGATGCCTGTTCCGGAAATCGAACCCTGCACTCTCAAGCATCAAGCGTTCGAGGCCGATGATGACTTTTGATGGTTGCTCCAGTTGCTGAGACTAACGTTAACAATCACCGGAGATCACATTGACGTCCGCATGGGCGGTACTTACAGGATCATCCGGAGTGAGGTGCTCCGCCGGAGGGAGCTTCAGGTTGAACGACGCGCAGATGATTTCTCTCGACTTTTTCAGCGTGTCTTCGATCTTGCACGCCGTGAAGAGAGCTCCCAGCGCGGCTTCCTATGACGCAACACGTTAGGTCCTACTCGCAGCAAAAGATTCACAAACGCTTACCATAAAATTGTACTCGTTATCCGAGTGCACGAGGCGGAACTTGTGATAGTAGACAACCGCGGTGTTGTACGTCCGCACCGGTCTGGGAGAAGTCAGATGACGGCGCCGAAGCGAAAGCGTCGAAATGGTCTCTCTACACTTACAGCTGCACGGCCTTGCGCACGCTATCAATCAGCTGGACACCCTGCAACCGGATGCCATCTTCCTTGGCCTCGGACATGCCGATGGTGGTGAGGAAGCGCTCGAGTTTCTGCTGAAAGACATAGGGCTTGGCGAGCTCGATGAAAGACGGATGAGGGCCGGGGTGGCCATTCGGGGCGCTCAAGGGCGGGGGCGGCGCGGGCGCCATGACGAAGGACAGCGGAGTGGGCTCAGGGGATGGCTTCTTCTTCTCCTTCTCCTTCTCTTCAGGCAGGCTCGGGCTCGTGTCGCGGGCGGTGTTGCGGCGTCCGGAACCTAGGGCAATGAGGTTCGGGTTGGCAGGATCAGCCGGTGCACCGTGGCCACCGCGCCGCTGCTGCTGCTGCTTCGTCGGCGCGCTCGATTCTCCGAACCCATCACCTCCTTCGCTGTGCGGCGTGCTCGCGCCTTTTAGTCTTTTCGCGTCGCGCTTTGCTTTGGCTTTCTTTTTGTTGCCCTTTTTCGTCATGGTCGCGATGCTGGAGGTGCTGGAGGTGCTGGAGATGCTGGAGATGCGGCCGAGGATCGCTGGCTTTCAAAAGAGACTGAAATGGGAAAAGAAGGATGCAGTCGGGCTTGATGCAGGCCAATCCCAACGTGTTACCGCACCCGCGGCTCTTATGTGCATTCACCCGTTTGCTCACACGCGCTAGTCGTCACATTGCTAACACGGCCCTGTTGGCTTGCTGGAGTCTAAAGGGTATTGCGCTATCGCCGACTAACCACCAACGCCATGCTATGCACGAAAGACTCCCGTGCAACCCAGTCCAAACGAAAACAACATGTCCTTCGCCCACTGTCTAAGCCTTTATCAATTTCCTTCGTCTTTGTTCATCATTCGTCATCCTGTCCCCAAATGTCACGCTCCTCCCGGAAGCTACCGTACTGCATGCGCCGATCCCACTTGCCGCTGTTGGCACCGTAATCGCGCGTCTGCCACTGGCTTGCCTCTTCTGACTCAATCGGTCTTTCATCCCCCACAGCCCCTCCATCCTCTTCATTCTCATCAACCGTGAGCGGTGCATCGAGGTTGTGCGCTGACTCAGGCATTTGCGACGCAGGCTTATCTGGGTCGAAGCCTTCGCGGACTACTTCTTCCTCGTCACCCTCAGGGAATGTGCGCCTGCGAAATGTTAGCAGGCCAGCATCTGACCTCAAGTAGCAAGTAGCAAACTTACACATAATGCTTCGGCTCAGCTTCATTCCAGCCCGGCCCACCCTCCTTCCGAGCACGGACACGTTCAATATCTTCGGCCTCATGGTCTTCCACAACCAAATCGACAAGTTGGCTGCTGTGCGATTTCGTCGAACCAGTCGAAGACGAGGACTCGTGTCGAATCAGGTTTTTGACAACTGACGTGCGAGACTTAGACTTAGACTTTGAGGGCTCTCCGCTGCTGCTGCCGGAACCGCTGCGATGCTTGCCCTTGTCGGCGGACTGCTGGATTTCATGTATTCTGCTTTTACGTCTCCGCTTTTGGTCTTTAGTAGGCTGTATAAGGTTCCGGTTTGTCGAAGCTGTGATCATGGTGGGATTGCGGTAGAGGCGGTCTTCTCGTGACGCATGGTGCGCCGTAATGACTGGATACTGGAGGACCCGTCAGACACTAGTTACGGAGCACAAAGGAAAGGTACTAACATTCCAATCACCAAATTCGAGAGCCCTAGCATTGGTGAAAAGTCTTTCATCTTCTGGGTCTAGTTCCGCGGGCTCAATGTCCCGAGATGCGCCATACTTGGTTGCAGACTCAATCGCCTTATGTGCGCCTGGACTCATAGCTCTTGCCCGGCTGGACGTAAACTTGTTGAGCAGAGGCGTCCTCACATCATGCTGGCCAGGCTTGGGTATCCAGTATTTGCCTTTGCCACCTCTTTCATATCGCATACCTTCCATCATCCGTGCAGCGCGCGAAGCCGACTCCTCATGGGCCAGAACGTTGTCATGCGCATCAAAGTAGCGGTATTCGTACTTCGACCCAATAAAGGTCTCTTTGGTGTCTTCGATAAGGTCACGCGGCCCGAAGGCATCCCGGAGAGCAAACTTAACAGGCATCCGCGCAGCCGAGATGGTGATATCGGCATAGTCGTGCCATGAGAACGCGTACCAGTGCGCAATGGCAAACGCGGGCATCTCAAAACAAATGAGAGCATCTTGAATCGATGCAGCCAGGTTATCCGGCGTATACCCAGGAACATCGTCGGGTAGCGCACCGAGCCAGACCAAGATAGAAAGGAAGAAACCCTGCCAATACGATGCAAAGATAATGCCCTTGATACACAAGAACTTGGGCATTGGCCGGAAAGGCTTGAGATCGTGGGCCATGCATACCCAGAACATAGCCAAAGCATACAGACTTACCGTAATACTCACGTTGTAGATGAGGCCACTCCAGAAATAACCGGAGGTGAGACCAATATAACCCTCCTGGTATGTACCGGTGGCCTTCATCGCTATGGTAGCGAGGGCCAGGAGCGGCTTAACCCATGTGTACTGCAAAATACCACGCTTGATGGCGAGGAACGTATGAGGGTCGGATATATCCACCTTGGGGAGGAAGTAGTTGAGGGGCCACAGATGCGAAACAGGAGGACGGCCGTGCATCAGGATGATCAGGGAGCGTTCGCCCCCGATGAAGTTGATGAGAAGTTGAAAGAAGGTATAGATGGTGAAGGCCTGGCAAGAGCTTAGCGCGAAGCGGGGAACAAGAAGCGTGCTTGCCCACCTCGTAGACATCGCGGAAAGGATCAATCCAGAAAGCGGCCTTGAGTGACACCAAACTCGCCCATGATGCACCCGAGTAGATGGGAACCCTAAGGATGCTTTAGCGGTGTGTCGTCCATAGAGAGCCTCTTCACCCACATCAACAGTATGCGCACTACATATCGCTGCAAGAGGGGTTTCCGGTAGTTTTTCCTATTGTCGTGGTCAACACGTCGTTTACGGCGGGGGAGTATGGGAGGACTCACGCCTGTAGCCATACGGACCTGTTGAGAAGCGCGTCAGTGGGTGCCTGGGATGACGAGCGGGGTCGGAGAACTTACACAACGGTCAGGAGGGTAGCGATGAGAGCTGCGACCCCAGTGAGTACTATCACCCAGTGTCCGAACCTGGCGCCCGTGCCACCGCTGCTCGACTCCTCGCCCATGTTTGTTGCTGCGTAGTCGGGGTGGTGTGGGTGTCGGGGCAGAAGGCTGCTTCGCCCAAAGATGACTCGCTGAGGGGCGAATCACCCGGGCCAAAGGCAGTAAAAAGTTAGGCAGCAGAAAGTGGGAGGAATGGCGCAGGCAGATGCCCCAAGCTTGGTGTTGATCGCATGCACCGCCGCAACCCTGCGAGGCACGAGCCGAGGAGCGTCAAGCGTCGTCATTTCCGTGTCTAGAAGCCCTCACCCGCGCCTGCCAAGCGTCCACCTCGCCAACGTCGAGCTGTGCGCCTTCCAAGAGACACGCCTTCAAATGTCGGGCAACTCACAATGATCGCGAGACTCTCGCGCGCATCCACAGCACCTCTCGCGAGAAGTCACCCGTCCCACAATGGCGAGCGGGGGGCTCGTTTCCGAGCCACTCAACCCGCAAAGGCATCTGCTCTGGCAGTTCCTCGTTGAGCTGCTCCTCTGCTGCGTACTGACCATCTTCTTCCTCTTCTACTTCAACCGCCTGTTCGCGACGCTCGTATCGTACGGCATCCGCGCCTACACATGGCACAACTACCGTGCCTACATCGACATACAGTCCCTCCAGATCTCCCTGCTCGGAGGGCGTCTCTTCTGGAAAGACATACGCTACCACGGGCACAACCAAACAATACTCGTCCATGGAGGTCATATCACGTGGCGCTTTTGGTTCAGGAAGGTCAAGGAGACGGAACTCTTCTCAGGAGGCCAAGCTACGCGCAAGCCGAGAGACTTGGACGCGGTGAGCAGCGACAGCCAATCACGAGATGGAGATCGAAACCTTGAAGGGGAAGAAAGTGGCGGGAAGCAAAAAACCAAGGAGCAGCCATGCCGCATCTCAATCAAGGTGTCTGGCGTGGAAGTCTTCCTGTATAACCGCAGCCCAGCATACGATGGTATCATCGAGAACTTTGCTCGTGCGATGGATGACAATGAAGCCAAGAAATCCCCTAGCCAGGATGACCAGAGCTCGAGACAGAGCAGTGGACCAACATTTACAGACAAGATCCAATCAGTGCTCCATCGCCGCAATACAAGTAGCACCAATGGGTCAGGTAACCACAGCGGTGCCAGCGCCGGAGAAAAGCCCAGGACCAATTCCCAAGCGTCTGGGACGCCGCAGGCACCAGAGATACCTTCATTTCTCCGAATGTTCCCCATACGGATCGATTGTAACAAAGGTGCAATTGCTGTGGGGAACGAGAGCACCCCTGCCATTATAACAGTGAAGTTTGACAAGGCTAGCGGCGAGCTCAGCGCTGCACATGCCGGACCTCTTGATGCTTATAAACAGTTGTTCAATTTTGAGTTCGAGCATCCAGTGGTTCAAATGAAGCCGAATCCAGACTACAAAGCCCCGCAGCTTGCGACGGCAGCGCGGCTGAGACAGGAAGCAATGGATAATTTAGGCTCGCGAATGGAAAAGGAACAGAAGAGGGCCCGGAAGCAGAGGTTTTGGCATCCACTGCAGAGTCTCTCTACACTGTTTAGTAAATCTGCAGATTCTCTTGCAGATTCTCGCAAACCGCCTACGAAGAACCGTGGGTCGACCGTACAACCGCCTTTCCCTGGCCAGGAGCGATGGCAGGGCCTAACGAGATATCTTGATGATGAGGACCACGACGAGCATGACGAGTGGGGTGGAGTTGAATATGCCAAATTCTCTTTGATCGCCGATGTCCCCAAAATTTCAATGAGCTTTTACTGGGACGTTCCAGGCCCAGTACCTAAAATACCGGAGATTATCAACCGGCAGACAACCAAGACAACAATCGACATCAACGGCAGTCTCCCACCAGACTACGGTCTTGACCTTCAGATTCATGGTGGAATCATTAACTATGGACCTTGGGCTGATCGTCACCGCGTCATAATTCAAAACTACTTCTTCCCGGCTAATTGCACTGATTCAATACCTGCGGAGCCTTTGAATCCTGGCGATATCCGTGTTAGTACTGTCTTGAAACTGTTCATCACTTTCGAAGATGACGTTGTTCTGCGCATTCCCATACGAGAGAAGTCAAAAGACTGGAGATGGAAGGGCCGCGCACAAAATGTCACCGGCGAAGGCAAGAACGGATCGGATGCTGGAAACGGCCGAGAAAAGAAGAGAAAAACTGGAAGATTTAGAAAGAGGGATGCTGGCGTTTCCGCACAGAACGCACGACCCTTTGGCTGGCTGGACATAAAGCTGCAACCCAACTCAACCGTAAACTACGTCATGGACATGGTGGCCGGACCGCATGGGTATCACAACAGTTTGGATCTGGACATTCGCGGAGCAGAGATCGCTTCCAGTGTCAACCATGGTCTGCTTTGGAGATCGAGTACCCTGGAGTTGGATGCCAATCTGTCGAATCCTCTCAAGTGGAATGGCTTACGAGAGTGGGCCTTCAACATCAGATGCCGCGACCTTGAACTCTTTCTTCTCAGAGATCACATGTTCCTTCTCACAGATCTTGTCGGCGACTGGGGCTCTGGTCCGCCGCCTGATTACTATACTTTTACACCATTTCGGTATATTCTCAATATGGACTTCCGGGATCTCAAAGTGTTTCTTAACACAAACGATTCTAACATCATCAACAACCCTGCAGACCTCGAAGACAACCATTTCCTGATCTTAGGTGGGCAGAAGTTGGGTGCGAGAATGGAAATTCCACTGGACCAGTTCCGTCCAGCTCGAAGCGAGATCAACTTTAGCGCCCAAGGAAAACACATTGACCTAGAGCTCTCAGTTCCTCCACGTAACACGGCAGCAACATTTGTCAAAGAGAAGCAGGTAGCACGGCTTGGGGAAGTGACGCTACTCGGAAGTTACAAGTACTTTGCTGAGACGAGGCCTGGGCTTACCGATAGGCTCACGCTTGACATACGTGGCTCAAAGCTAATTCTTACGTTGTACGGCTTCCTCATCAGGCATTTCCTGAAGATAAAGGATAACTACTTCGGTGAGGACATGCACTTTAAAACGTTGGAAGAATATCAAGAAACTCCGCAAAGTAAAGGTGGTGAGACTCAAGGGGTGGATTTGGCCGACGTTGCCTCCAACAAATCCAATGACCTTGATGTTATCCTCAGCATCGGGGCCGATGAGGCAAGCGTTCTTCTACCGGCAAATCTGTACACGGCCGAGGACCACCTCAGGCTTGATTTGCCATTTGCTGCTGCTGATCTCCGCTTCACAAGCTACTACATGGATCTTATGGTCGACTTCAGCCCACTCAGCGTGTCATTGGCTCTTCACGCGAATGAAGGGACCAATCTTGACAACAGCGGTCGAACGCAACTGTTCATTGATCTTGTCAAGATCTATGGACACCGCACTTTTGGTCTGCCTCCAGTCGAGCCAACATACGTCTGCAGCTGGGATTTTGACGTAGGTAAAATTTCTGGAGAATGCTCAGGAAAGCTTCTGGAAAAGATTGCCGCTTTTGCTCGTTGCTTTTCGTTTTCCTTAGATGACGAAGAGAACGCACTGCCTCTAGCGCAACCTGTTGTTATTCACGACATGACATTCCTCAGGCTCAAAACAGACGCAATCAAAATCTGGCTGCATGTTGCTCAAGAAGCCTTACTTTTGAGTGCTGACCCAATCAGTCTTGATTTCAATGACTGGGCGGGCCCCGCATTCTCCCAGCGACTCAACCTTCTCATCCCTAACTTTGTCATAGCTTGCGTCGATGCCAATGCAGCAACTCGGCATAAGCGAGGAAGCACTAGGCGCGTTGTTGACACGCATGCCTATCTGCAGACAGACGTTCGTTTAACCATGCTGAAGCGGAATCTTGAGTTCACCGAGGATCGCCGACAGCAGCAGTGTCATCTCAAAGAAAGCGATTTGAGGACGCACAGAACCCCTTGGCTTCTTCATGATGGCCTGGAAGGCGTTGACGTCCATCCTGGCCCCAATACAAGAGTGGATACCCCAGCCATGCCATATCCTCAACTGCCACACCCCGTCAAGGGCAAATCATGGCCCAGGAGCTACAGCCTGTCATCAGCATCAATTGCTGGCTCTCACACAACATCTGGATCTTCCGGTACCTCAATCTATCGAGACTCACCGACCAGGCTTCCAAATGAAACGAGAACTTTACGATCAATGGCCTCAAAAGGTTCTCTTCGGGAAAGCGTTAGGCGCGTTGCAGGAAAGAGGCCCTCACTAGATCTCAGGGCAACAGACAGGAGTGCCATGTCTAGCAGACCCTCTTTGGCAGAAACTAGATCAACAAGCTTCTACTCGGGCACGCTTTCTGGAGAAGAAAGCCGTGAGAGAGGGACTCATCCTCGTGCATCAATTGCACAGACAAGCTCTTTGGAAACCCCATACTTTCCACTTGATACTGTGCAATTTGATGTTTCAGGAGTACCAACTTTACGTCCCGATGTTGCACCTTGGGAGTCTTCACCCAACGCTATAGTCTTCAACGACGTGTCAACAAAGACAATGGATGAGAATTTTGTCCATACAAGCTTTCTCCTCAGCTTCGAGCCGGGTATCCGTGCACTTTTCACACCAAAAGCGGTTGGAACAGTGGTTAATATCTTGGACATGCTACAGCCTAAACATCCACGGGACATATTAGATGACTTCCAGATCGACATCATGACGAAGATCTTGAGCCACCAAAGACGTGTTGAAGGACATGGCACTTCTACTGAACTCAGCTTCAAATTACCTGCATTCCACTTCAGATTTGTAAACTCTTTCCAGTCGACCACTGGAGACAAAGGCTATTGCGGAAAGGATCAATATGACCTGATTTTGGATCGACTTTCCGTGGCACTAAGGGACAAAACTTACCCGGCCCCGGCAAAAGAGAAGAGTTCTTTGGCAGTTCACACGACGCTGAAGTCCCTTAATATCTCCGTGAAGGAGGACCATCCGAACGCTACGGACCAAGATGTTGCCGTACAAATTGTCTTAAGTGACCTACTGGTCTGGTTGGTTACTGGAAAAGCTGCATCCGTCAATGTGTCTTTCCGGAATCTCGACATCGCCAACTCTAGCAGAAAGATACAATATCTCGCGTCGTTAATACATCGTACGACTCTCCTGGCGGACGATCTGGAAGCCAAGTTCACAGACCTTAGCGCAAAGAGTCAGCGGCGCCTACGATACCTTGCGTACATGCTTACAGTATCTGGGAAAGAAATTCCTGACCCTGCTTTCATCACAAGGCCGTCGTATGTCTTGCGTGCTGCTACCAACCACCTTCGCAACCAAGACTCTTGGAAGATTGTATCACGCGTCCACTATGTTTATGATAACCTCCCGGAAAGATCCAAAAACAGAATCAACAATGAATGCATCGATGGCTTTACATCATGCCCCGCAGACGCCGAAACCAAAGTCATCAAAACATGGGATCAGTGGCGCACATGGGATCTTGCCCATGTCCAAAGCAGCGTCGTTATGCGTACGTTGTATGGCAACGTGGCTGATGTCGGTCCTCCAGAAAAGCCACCAATGCCTGTTGACGTGTCCATTCGGACAGCGGCCATTCGACTTATGGTGGACCCAGGCCCCGAGCAAAGCGAGATTTTCTTCCAACTTTTGGTCATAAAGATCGCGCTGACACCAGCACCCGCTCTATCCGGCCTCATGCTGTTGGAAAACGAGCACCTCACAAAACACACAGTCGTTGAGGTTAGCACCAAGAACGTCGCTGTGAAGTTCAGCTGGGAAATCTGCGAACTATTAGAGAATGTCCTTCGCTTGTTCCAATCTGAAGCACCGCACCTCAACCAAAAGCCAAGCAAGGCCGTTACGGAGGCCTCCGAAATTCCAGACAAGAACACGGAGATCCACGATTTCCAGATTCTGTTTGGCACAGATCACGGATCTATCAGTCTTGACACGATCAACCTGAGACACGTCTCTTCAAGTCGCCGGCTGAACCTTTCCGTGGTTGGGTCTGACAGGAGTGCAGCAAAGGAAGGCATGAGTGTCAGCGCTCTTCTTCACTCGGCATTGGCCGGTACAGAACTAAGCTCTCGAGGTCGGACCTTGATGAAATCTCAACTTGTCAGGCCCAATATCTTCATTTCCCATGATGACGAGAATTGGAAACCACCAATGCCAGAAGCATGGATGGTGGTTGGCAAATGTGAAGAGATGTCAATCAAGGTTACTGAGGATATCCTCTATATGATTGAGGTCGCCAACTCAGTCATATGCGATGAAGTAGCGTACCTCCATCGACAAAAGGAGAGCTTCAAGATGCCAAAGCACGCCCAGACTGTTGAGAGCACGAGCAGCAAAGAGGAAGCTCAGCTGCCCAACATCACCATCGCTCTTCTGATGGATGCTTACCGCGTCGATATTACTCTATTGCAATCGTTGTCCTACATAATCCAAGGCGAAATGGGACGACTATCAGCAACGCCGGTATTCGGTGGCAACAAAGCACTAAACGTCAATTTCGATGTGGACAAACACACTCATTACTTCAGAGGCCATTCGGGAGAGAAGTCTCATACTATCGCAGCATTCAATGTCCCGCTCCACAATGGCTGCCTACAGCTGCTACACTCGCCTACAGGCCTGAAAGTCATGTTCAACAGTATCATGGAGACTTTTGTGATTGACGCATCAGCGGTTCACGGTCTTTTGACAACCGTCAATGAACCGGAGGTCCAGAACATCCTGAAGTCCATCAAAGATGATGTTGGAATACTGAAGAGCAACATCAAAGAGGCCATGCCAAGCAGCGGCGAAGAGCTTCCAGTTAAGCAGATTGAGAGCCAGAGTCAGCCTGTGGTCTTTGATGCAAACTTCGTCATGGCAGGTCTCAGTGTCATTGCCAAAGCACCAGGAAAGTACCCAGATTCCCCCAAAGCCAAGCTCTTGTTCGAGCTTGCTAGCATCAAGGCCAAGGCTACAAACTTATCAGAAGAGGATGGTTCTTTACTTCCTCTACCTGAATTTGCTGCCTTCCTTCCGGCAATAAAGCTTTCTTTGGAGTCATCTGAGGGTGATGGCTGGAAGCAGTGCGGCAACCTTCTGTTTGGAATCGAATTCCGCGGTACATTCCAGAACAGCAAGATGAACATCCCAAGGCGTGACTACCGTATCCGCAGTTCCGAGCTCGAAGTAAATATCTTTGCGGATACTGCTTCGGCTGTGGTCGAAGTTTTGAACCACCTACAGGAGAGAATCAGAGATATTGATTTCTCAAGAGAAAGGAGGTACTTACGCAAGCTTCGAGAACCCAGGAGGCGTGGCTCTCGTCTCACCATCGGGAATGATGGGGTTATTGGGGATACTGCCAGTGTTGCATCCAGTGGCCTGTTTACCTCAGCCGCTTCACTTGTGCTGCTGAATATACAGATCAGCTGGATTGTAGGCAACTCAGTCGCTCCGCACCCAGGCCGTGAGAGTGAAGATCTGGTACTTTCTTTCAAGAGAATCGACCTGTCTACAAGGAGTGAAGAGGCGGCACGGCTCACCATCGAGAACATGCAGTTGCAAATGGTTCCTTCCAGCCAGGACAAGCTGCAAAGATCGCTAAATTCTGCATTGCTTCCGGAAGTTGTCTTCAATGTCTCGTATGCTTCAACGAAAACAGATAGACGTTTCGCTTTCCAAGCTGCAGGAAAATCGTTGGACCTCCGCCTTGAGTCCCGATTCATCCTTCCTGCATTTATCCTCCAACGCTCAATTTCCCTTGCTGGACAAAAGTTCAGGGCAGCGTCTGCATCTTGGAAGACTGAGCCTACATCTAGCGGTGCTCCGCGTAAGAACCTGTTCGGCAAGAAGAAGCTTTCCTCGCTTGTCGTTGACGCAGATTTTGCCGGTGCCGTTGTCACCCTACAAGGAAAACGCGAGGTTGTCAAGGACCAAAGACGCTTAGGTAGCACTGGTAGTGCCAGAATGCCTTTACATGGGAGATACGGTCAGTTTGCAAACGATGGCTCAAACACGAGTACAACATTGCGCGCCCCTGGCGTGTCCACTAAGATCGAGTACAACGATGATGAGGTCGATCCTTCTCTAAATGCAGAAGTCAAGGTGGACGCTTCGAGCAACATCCTATATCCAATGGTTGTACCTCTTGTTATGGATGTCTCGAACTCCATCAAAGAAGTCGTCCAAGATAAAGATGAGCCGCAAAAGCCAGTCGAACGCAAGAGATCAAAATCGATTAGGGCGTCATTACCTCCTCAGAAGGGCATGGAGGAAGACAGCCTGATTACCGCTGACCCAAGCGCCATCCTGGGCAAGACGAGACTCAATATGGGTTTGCGTATCTGCAAGCAGGAATTTAGTCTGAGCTGTCAGCCCATCGCTCGAGTAGCTGCCACTGCCCGCTTTGAAGATATTTACCTCACCGTCAACAGCATAAAATCGACCGAGCAAGGACACTTTTTTGCGGTTTCGTCCACCTTTGACAAATTGCAGGCATCCGTACAACATGTGTACTCGAGGGAGTCTACTTTCAGCTGCGAAGTTGACAACATCATTCTCTCAGTCATGAACAGCAAGCACCTAAGCGGAACCAGCGGCATGTCTGCCATTCTCAAGATCAATCCAACAAGGACCCAGATCAATGTCAGGCAATTGCAAGACTTCCTGCTCTTTCGCGAAATTTGGATCCCACCGGAAGTCCGTGAGGTGTCGAAACCACCCAGTCCAGAACCTGACGAGGGCCCTCAAGAATATCTTGTCCAGAGGTATCAGCAGGTAGCTGCGGCTGCAGCGTTCCCGTGGAATGCGACAATTGCTGTAGCAGAAATCTCTGTGGATCTTGATATGGGCCAAGCCATTGGCAAGCCGTCTTTCAAGATTGTCAATCTTTGGGCTTCATCGAAAAAGAACTCTGATTGGGAGCAAAATCTATGCATTGGTGTGGAAAGCATCGGCATCACAAGTACTGGTAGAACGAGCGGATTCGTTGACTTGACCGGGTTCAACGTACGGACATCCATTAGCTGGCCGCCTAACCAGGACGGAAAGCATCGAACGCCGCTCATCCAAGCAACATTGGGCTTCAACCAGCTCTGCGTCAAAGCCGCCTTTGACTACCAAACGTTTGCCGTAGCCGACATCACCTCTTTTGCATTCTTGATGTACAACGTCCGGGCCACAGAGGAGGGTGCACGGGACCGACTTGTCGCCATGCTCGAAGGCGACAAAGTGCAGGCTTTCCTCACCCCAATCAGCACTGCTCAAGCAGTGGCATTGATGCAAGCCATAGAACGGCTGATCCAAGAAAACCAATCAGCGTACAAGCAGTCACTCAAGGACATCGAGAAGTTCTTACGTCGCAGCCCAAACACACAACTATCTCGACCCGGGCAAGAGCCGTCGCCTTCGCCGTCGCCAGCACCAAAACCAGTGGCGAAGAGCAAAGAGCTCCAAACCCCCATTTCACTGCACACAGATGTGGTTGTTACTCTCAAGGCAATCAGCTTCGGCGCTTTCCCAGGCACCTTCTCTGACAACCAGGTTCTGCTCCTAACAGCATCAGACGTGCAGGCCCGTTTTGCTGTCGCCCTAGAGAAACAAAAGATCCACAGCGGACTTGGAATGACACTTGGACAACTCAGTGTCGCCCTCGCATCTGTCGCGCATCCCAAGGGACCCAAAACGGTCAGTGAACTCACCGTCGAGGAAGTCGTCTCGAACGCCAACTCAGCCCGCGGAGGGACCATCCTGCGGGTGCCCAAGGTCATCGCGGCAATGCAGACGTGGCAAGCACCCAACTCGAACCAGATCGACTACATCTTCAAGAGCTCCTTTGAGGGCAAAGTCGATGTGGGGTGGAACTACAGCCGTATCAGCTTCATCCGCAACATGTGGGATGTACATTCACGGGCGCTCGCCAACCGGCTCGGCAAGCCGCTGCCCGAGAGTGCAGTCAAGATCACAGCGGGGCCGGAGCCGGGCTCGGAGCCGCAGAAGGAGCAGCCATCATCCTCGACGGCGGCGGCAGCGGCCATGGCTGAAGACGTCCCGCCCGAGGAGAGAGGCAAGATCACGGCTGTGGTAAATGTGCCCCAGTCCAAGTATGAGTACACGGCACTCGAGGCGCCGATTATCGAGACGCCGCAGCTGCGCGACATGGGCGAGGCGACGCCGCCGCTGGAGTGGATTGGACTGCATAGGGATCGGCTGCCAAATGTCACGCACCAGATTGTTATCGTGACGTTGTTGGAGGTGGTCAAGGAGGTCGAGGACGCTTATTCGAGGATCTTGGGATCGACTTGAACTTGAGGGATGTAGATATTTTTTTCCTTTGACTTTTTCTAATGTTTCATGGTAACGGCGTTGTTGGATTTTTGTTTTTTTTTTAGACTTCTTTTGCATTCGTAAGGCGTTGGTTGGCATAATGGATGATGTTGGTAATGTGATCGGCGAAGGTGGTGGTCGTTCGGTGACTTTTACTGTCGTGCGGCAGCCACACTGGGGCCGGATGGCAAGCAGATGGGCTCATGTCTCTGTTGACGAGCAGTTCTAGATCCAAGCCGGTGTTTAAGGTATGATTCCACATTTTCAGGAAATCTGCTCATCAACTTCCGTTAGTTTGCTTAGAGGCGGGGTTGAAGTGATCGCGGCCGATTGGCGACTACTACGGTGCATACAAGGACAACTTTGGACGTACACAGAACAACAATTTCGTATGGCACCAAAACATTTCCCATTCAGCTGTCAAGTTCTCCATCTTCACACCCAAACCAATCTATCCGGATGGTATTTGGATTTTGCCAGAGGCCTGGACGCATCCACATCAGCAAGACCAAAAACCAGGCCCCCCAAACTCCGATAGCGGCTCCCATCACCCCCACAAAACACGGCCATCGCCCCCTCGCTCACAAGCCGTAGCAGGAGATACGACTATATGGAAACGGCGAACGATTGGTGTTCAGGCAATAGGTAATATGTATCTCACGCGCAATAAATGTCGCGGGGCCTCAAACATGAACAGGCCGGCGGCCAGGGATTGGATTGCGCACGCAGCGCGGACATTGCCGCATCAGGCAGTTCATCGACAGCGCAAAAGCACTGCCGGCCCGTGGCCGTGCTGCGCAAAGCGACGTACCCGAGATTGTGATCTTTGATCGTGGTGGTTTCGCTGCGAGGGACCGCTTGCTGGTTGCTGACTCGATGCGACTACTACATCGAGCTGAGTGAGAGATGGAGCAGACGTCCGCGCTCGCTCGCTCCACGGATGAATTCTCTCGTTGTATCTTGTTGATTCTTCCGCCCGCCCAACCTAGGTTCCTTTCTTTTGCCGGATATATCGCGATCTCCACCAGGATGCCGCGCGCCCGCAGCGTCGACAAATCGCACGCGCGCCCGGCTGCGCGTGGCCGTGACGCGGACCGTCTCCAAGACGCCATAGTCGGCACGCAGCCAATGGCGCATCTGCCATGCACCATGCACGGCCGTGGTGCCTTGCAGTAGGGCGTGCAGGCGCAATAGGGGAGGTCGACGTCGAAGGCGGGCATGATCGGCCGTTTCTTTTGTCTCGGCACCACTGCTGCTGGTGCATGGTCCCTGGAGAGGGGGGGTCGCGGTAGGTCGCAGTCGCAGTCGCGGTCCCTGGATCGTCGTTGCTGCCCGTGCCGGACAGGTATAAGATGTGCGTCGTTGCCCGTGGCGCTGTGTTGACGGCACGCTCTTCTCGTTCGTTTGTCTGCTCTTTGGCCGCTCGCTCGCCTGTCCCTGCTCGTTTCCTCTTTATATCTATAAATTATATATATATATTTGTATATATATATACCTCGCTACCACTCGATCTCTCTCGCTCGCTAGCTACCCAGCCATGTCTCCCTCCACATCCAAGCTCGGCCGGGCCATCTTCTGCCTCTCAGCGCTTGCGGGCCTGGCCTCTGGCGCGGCGATCCAGCGCCGCGACGAGATCGACAGTGATGCCGTGGTCGGGTTTCCAGAGACGGTCCCGGCTAACGCGACCGGCGAGCTGTACTTGAAGTACAAGCCGTGGCTGAAGGTCGTCAATGGCTGCGTGCCTTTCCCCGCGGTCGACGAGGCTGGAAACACCAAGTAAGTGATTTGATATTCTTGCTCTTACATTGGAAAGCGAAAGCCGGTGGTGTAGAAGGGTACGGGCTGGAAAGCTTCGACCTGGGCACCAGTAACGTCTTTCTTTAATTCACTGGACAATTGCTGTCCATACTCTCTTGCTCCTCTCACTACTACCCCACCCTCGCCGACTACAAGCAACCCCACTAACCCACACCCCTACAGCGCGGGCCTCAACCCCTCCGGCGACTCCTCCGGCGACTGCGACTCCAGCACCGGCCAAGTCTACGTCCGCGGCACGACCTACAACTCGCAATACGCGATCATGTACTCATGGTACATGCCGAAAGACGAGCCCTCGAACGGAATCGGGCACCGCCATGACTGGGAAGGCGCGGTGGTATGGCTCTCGTCAGCCGACGCCACGGGCGAGCTGCTGGGCATAGCGGCCTCCGGCCACGGCGGCTTTCAGACCTCCACCTCCCCCACCCTCGATGGCTCTAGGCCCCTCATCCGCTACTATAGTAACTGGCCCCTCGACCACCAGCTCGGGTTTACGGATGAGAAAGGCGGCGAGCAGCCGCTTGTTGCGTGGGAGTCGCTGCCGGAGGCTGCGAGGACGGCGCTTGAGAATACGGATTTTGACAAGGCGAATGTGCCGTTTAAGGATGCGAACTTTGAGGCTAATTTGGAGAAGGCGGCGCTGTAGGCGTTGCTGTTGTTGGTGGGGGAGGGTTGTTGATGTTGATACCATTACTGTTTGCTATGCCATTTATGTTCTTGGTGCGACCTTTTCGCTGTTCGTGACTTGACTGTCGTCAGTGGCCGTAAGCTGTGTGCTTCCTTGCTCCTTTGTCGGATGACCTTGGTTCTTCTCTCAACCCCACCGTAGATTGAACCGGCAAATCACATGGACATGGGAGTCTAAGAGAATATCAAAACTAGCACCTACACTGCTCACTAAACAATACTGCATGCCTCTCGAATGTCCCGAACAAACACATTAAGCGCAGATCAAAAGGCATTTTGGGCGGGAAACAAGGTCGAGGAAAAATAAATAATTACGAATAAAAATAAAATCAAAATTGAGCTGCCTGGTATACCATCAAAGCGTCCTCTTCCCACACTCTCTTGATACAGTAGATGCGAGAATGGCGCAGATCAGACAGGCTAGAGATAACACGATAATTTTTTCTGGGGTTGAGAACTACACGATTCAAGCCCAAAAATGAATCAGTGGCGATACCGGCTAGTTATCAAGATTGTAGCACAGCGTGCACGTTGGTAAAGTCTGTACGATTCAGCCGGCTGGCGTCGACAAAGCCGATCACGGACAGACGAACGAACCGCATCCAACTCCATGTCAACCCCCACACCACGCACGTGCTGTGCCGTCATTCAAATGGCACCGCATACATACAGCGACGGTCCCTTCGGACTGTCTCTCTGTTCAAACACCTACATAATAGCTCATCAGCAAGCTGAGCGTTACAAACATGCCGAAAATGCTCCGCATCGGCGTTGACGTCGGCGGGTCTGTCTCCATTCCCATTCCCATTCCCACTACTATTCTCCAGCCATGTCTTCATTGCCTAACCAACTCACAGAACAAACACTGATGGAGTGATTCTCGATCCCTCGCGGACAGCGGAGCCTGACAGAGGCATCGTCGCCTGGTAGGCACATATCTGCGCACCTACCCGGAGACCATACCCCAGCTCACCATCATCACCATTGCAGGCACAAAGCACCCACTACGACGAACCCCAGTCTCGGGATTAATCATGCTCTTACCTCCATGTTCGAGCAGTCCAATGTCTCGCCTGATGATGTTGCGAGCGTGACTATAGGCACTACTGTACCTGCCCCGCCCCGCCAGTTTCCTTTCCTTTCTTCTACCACTCCTACTCCGCAGAAACACTTGCAGAATATTCAACTAACCCACCTGCCAGCACTTCGTCAACGCCGTCATCGAAAGAGACGCCACCCGCCTCGCCAAAGTCGCCGTCCTGCGTCTCAGCGGCCCGTTCGGCAAACACGCCCTACCCTGCACCGACTGGCCCGACGACCTCCGCTCCCTCATCTTGGGGTACTACGCGCTGGCGCGCGGAGGGCTCGAGATCTCCGGGCAAGAAATCGACCCCATCGACCCCGCCGAGATCCGCGCCTTCTGCGCCGCCGTGCGCGAAAAAGGTATTCGCAGCATCGTTGTCAACGGAGTGTTCAGCCCGCTCGACACCGTCTTCAAGCAGGAAGAAAGCGCCGCCGCAATCATGCGCGCGGGGTTACCAGGCGTGGATATTGTCCTAGCGCACGAAGTCGCGCAAATCGGGTTCCTAGAAAGGGAGAACGCGGCAGTGCTGAACGCCTCGATAATGGCGTTCGCACGACGGACGATCCGGGCGTTCAGCGCGCCGATGCAAAAGCTGGGGCTGCGGTGTCCGGTGTTTGTGGCGCAGAACGACGGGACCGTGTTGGCGGGGTCGGCGGCCGCGAAGCTGCCTATCCGCACGTTCAGCTCTGGACCGACGAACAGCATGCGCGGCGCGGCGTTCCTGGTACGGGATGTGCTGCGTGAGGCGGCGCTGGTGGTTGACGTGGGCGGCACGACGACGGATGTGGGCGCGTTGCTGCCGAGTGGGTTCCCTCGCCAGGCCGCCGCGTTCAGTGAGGTTGCGGGTGTGAGGACGAATTTCTCATGCCCGGATGTTAAGAGCATTGGGCTTGGGGGCGGGTCAGTGGTGCGGGAGGACGGGGAGAGGGTGACGGTGGGTCCGGATAGCGTGGGGTACAGGATTAAGAGCGAGGCGTTGGTTTTTGGTGGCGAAGTGCCTACCGCGACGGACTATACTGTTGCTGGAGATGCGGGATTGCAGATTGGAGATCGCGCAGCGGCTGAGAAGGTTGTGACAAAGGGGAGTGTGAAGGGTTTCAGGGAGACGGTCAGGAGGATGCTGGAGAGGATCATTGACACGATGAAGACTTCGCCGGAGGACCTGCCTGTACTTCTCGTCGGTGGTGGAGCAATCATCGCCCCTGAAGAACTAAAAGGCGCATCGAAGGTGCTGAAGCCAGAATACGCTGGTGTTGCCAACGCGATTGGAGCAGCGATTGCGCGCGTCAGCGCGGTGGTCGACACAGTGAAGTCGACAGAGAAGAAAAGCACGAAAGAGCTACTGGAAGAGATATCAAATGATGCTATTGAGCGGGCAGTGAAGGCCGGCGCGGCACGGGAGTCAGTGGAGATTGTCGAGATGGAGACGCTACCGCTGCAGGTTTGTTTTACCAGCCTTGTATGCAACGTGACGTCTTCTTGCTGACATGGGACAGTACATCGCAAACAAGTCACGCTTCATTGTCCGAGCGGCGGGAGACTTTGACTTCACACGAGTGAACGAAGCAGACACGCTACCAGCAGCCGAAGAAGAAGATGACAACGACAACGAGGCCACAGGCCAACAAGCTCCATATGAGAAAAAGCCTGCAGCTCCACAGCAAAGCTCAAAAGACGAGCCCATCGACATCGCGTCCTACCGCCCCAAAGTCATCGACCGCATCTGGTACATCTCGGAGACGGACCTCGCGTGGATCACCACGGGGTGCTACATCCTGGGCACCGGCGGCGGCGGCAGCCCGTACAGCAACATGTTGCGGCTGCGCAGCATGCTGCGCGCGCGCGACGTAATCCGGGTGATCAGCCCCTCCGACCTCACGGACACGGACCTCGTTGGCTGCGGCGGCGGCGCCGGGAGCCCAACAGTAGGGATCGAGAAGCTAGCCGGTGACGAGTGAGTAGCGCCACCTCCTCTTTCCCCTTCCCTCCAAGAACCGAACCGCTAACCCCCCAACGTTGCAGAATGACCGAGTCGCAAGCCGTCCTCTCCACCCTCACAAACGCCAAACCCACCGCCCTCATCTCCCTCGAAGTCGGCGGCAGCAACGGCCTGCAAAGCCTCATCCTCGGCGCCACCTCTAATATGGACCTCCCCGCCGTCGACGGCGATTGGATGGGCCGCGCCTACCCCACCATGTGGCAGACGACGCCCGTCGTGGCCGGCGAGCGGGACACGGTCTGGTTGCCCGCGGTCATGTGCGATGGGAACGGGAACAGTGTCGTGAGTTGTCCCTAAAAGCAAGCAAGCAGGCTGGTCAAGGTCCATTTCTGCATTTTGTGATTTTGATGATGGTCGTCAGCATCGTTTTTCGGAAGGTTGGTGGCGGTGGTGGTGATGATCATCATCACCGTTTAAGGAGCGGCGGTTACGGTGATGATTATCACCAAAAACGCGAAATGCAGAAATGAACCTTGTGTTTGGAGGGTTCGAGTGTTTGTCTGATTGCTTCGGTACATGGCTGGACTGTCCACTGCTGTCGGCCAGAACTGCCTGCGCCTCCACGGTGAGCATCCGCTGTTGAAAAGATTGCTGACACTGTCCTCGAACATATATAGGCGATGCTCAAATCCCGCTCCGACGAGACGACGGAACGCGTCTTCCGGGCCGGGCTCGCGGAGCTAGGCTCACACGTGGGGTGCGCGCTGGCGCCCGTGACGGGCGGTATGTCCTTCATATCCTCTCTCCCCCCCCCTAACCTTCTCGACCACCCACCCACAGCCAGCAGCTAACGCCCACGCAGCAGAAACGCGGCGCTGGGCGGTCCCGCACACGCTCTCCCAGTCCTGGCGCATCGGGCGCGCCGTGCACGCGGCACGGCAGACGAACCGGCTCGCGCACGTGGCCGACGCCGTCGTCGATGCTGTGGGCGGGCGAGGGGTCGCGAGCGTGCTGTTCCGGGGGAAGATTGTGGGGGTTTCGCGCGTGCTGCGGAACGGGCATGTGTATGGGGAGGTGGAGATCGCGGGGATGGATGACGGTGGCGAGGGGGGTGGTGCTGGTGCTGGGGTTGGGGCTGGGGAGGAGGAGGAGGAGGTTAGGGAAGGATGGAAAGAGAGGTACGCGACCCGCGTCAAGATCCCCTTCAAGAACGAGAATATCGCTGTCCTGGCTATAGAGCCTGGTGGCGTGGAGACGCCGCTGGCCACTGTCCCGGACCTGATTGCAGTTATTGACGCGCAGAGCGGGGAGGCGGTCGGCTCGCCAGAGTATCGCTACGGCGTGCTGGTTGCGGTGGTGGGGATTGCGGCGGGGGAGCAGTGGACTGGGACGGCGAGGGGGGTGGAGCTGGGAGGGCTGCACGCGTTTGGCATGCACGACGTGCGGTGGACACCGCTTGGAAGGCGCGAGGATGGCGTTAGGGGCGTGGTGGACGAGTTTGCGACGTAGGGTCGGGTGGTGGTGGGTAGTTGACAGTTACACATTATGTCGTATACGCTAACTAACTAATCTTACATACATCATACATACAGGGAGAACGATGGGCAAGCGGGGAGGGCCTGCGTAGATAGGCCGTTTAAACGCTGCCCTTGCTGTCGACGTACTCGCCCCAGTTGGCGGTGTCGGCGACGTCGATGGTAACGTTGAAGGACTGGACGAGCTGCGGGGGTGTTAGACGAGGCACACGCAGGAGCGGGGCAGGGAGCGGCAGCAAGACATGACATACAGGCGAGTGGCTGGCACCGTAGATGGAGTAGAGGGCGCCGACGAGGACGGCCTTGCCCTTCTCGAAGTCGGCGGGCAGCGTGACGCGCGTGGAGATGTTGTTGTTCACGTTGGAGAGATCTAACAGAACAAAATCAGTCGGCAAGAACCAAAGAAACAACACAACAGCCACACCCAGTGACCTAGGGTGTTTGTCTGGAGTATGTTTGAAGTAAAGTTAAAAACTGGCTTACCGGGTCCGAGAATCTTCTGCAACAAAAGGTCGCGGCCCAGCGTTCCGGGATACGCCTGCGCCGGCGTGCTGGCTCCAAACACAATGGCCACGTCCTCGACGCTCTGGATGTAGCCCTCGGTGCGGATGGTGACGGGGAAAGCCTCGCCGGGGACGACCTGCTTGGGGGCCGAGATGCCGACGATGCGGGCCGAGGCCGTGGCGGCAAAGGCAGCGAGGAGGGCGGTGGTGAACTGCATGTTTACTGTTGTAGCTATAGCTGAAGTCGGAGCTCTGATAGAGAGAGAGCGAGTGATGGGCGGTGCTGGCTGGTAACTAGAACCAAACAACCGGCTTCCCACGCGCTTTTATATCCAGAGCCAGCCCGTGCCGTCGGTAGCACAGCAGCCAGCGCTGGCTGCGAGAGGGGCTGCGCTTCCGTACGTCCCGTCCCGTCTGGCCACCACCACGGCCATATGAACGACGGCCCGGCCGAACCCGGCTAGGATCGCCGCCGGGCCACGGCGGATACGAGGACGCAGGACGAGCTGGCGTGCGGGCGGCGGATGCCACGGCAGCTTCCCGCAGCCACACACACGCGCGCGGCGTATCGAAAGTGCCGTCCGTCACGTTGTATATATGCAGTCTAGTCAAGTGCTGGCAGTGGAGCCATGCTGCCGGGACCGCGATACGAAGGTTACGAGAGGCGGGAGAGCGACGCGGGCGATTATTTTTGGCGCGGTTCTGGGGAAGGAGGGAGAGGCGGCTGCTGCTGCTGCTGCTGCTGCGCGATGACGCCACGGCGTTGCGCTTTGAGTGCTGGGCCCTTGCTAGCTAGCTGCTTTGCCGGCTTTGGCTGCTAGTTCTGGCTGGACCGCTCCCTAACCTTGTCCTTAGCTCAACTACATACATACATGCCCGTACGCTCCAGCATCATCAGATGCGAAGCCATGCTGCTGGGCCGCATGTGACAGCAGCAGCAGGTGTACCATCTGCAACACCCAGGTAATTGTTCCCCTCCAGCTTCTAGAGCACCCACCCACCCGGAGCACGCTCCGCTCTCGGTCTAGCTCGGCGCGGGAGCCGCCTTGCGCTTCGCTGTTTTCGTCGCCGTCACCACTGCGCATGCCTCCTTTTGATGCTCTAGATGGCTTTGGACTCGGTGGTGGAGCTGCGCGGGTCGTGGCACCGATTACCGATGCTTATCTATCGACATGCCGGGAGAAAAAGGTAGATGTCAAAGGAAGCTCTCCACCACCACAACCATCACCACACCTCACCTCCTTCTCCCTCTCCACACACCCTCGCCTCTCCCCTCCTGCTCTCGAAGCTGTGCTGTGCCGAAAACGCCATCCCCTTCAACACAACAGAAGAGGCAAGTAGGTAGGTAAGTAGTGGTCCCAGCCGCGCTCAGGCCAGCAGCTCGCGAGGAGCACAGAGGCACGGGGCCACGGCGCGCCCACAGCGACTGCCGCTGCCGACTGCCCTAGCGTCTCAGATTGCACCTAGTAGTAGGCGGTGAAGCTGAGGTCATATCTATCATGAGAGAGGGGAGGAAAGAGGGGTAGTCGACAGCGTGTACCGAGAGGGCGAGTGCTTCTGCCAGACTAGGTACCTACATACAATTGCAGCAGCGCCAAAGCCGTGCCGTCAAAGCAAAGCCAGCCACGCTCGTCCAACGTCTGTGACAGCCGTTCTCCTGCCATTGACGTATTGTACAATATGAGCACTGCCTGCAAAGATGTAGGGGATCAGGCTCCCGTGCTAGAACGACATCAGGAGTCCATTGCGGGGCCTCACCTCACCTACCTACCTAGAGTAGGTACCTACCGCGGACCGGCACACCCGCGCCGTCACCGTCGCCGTCTCTCAGGGGCTGCCGACGTGCTTGTGTACGTAGTACATAGGTACATACACATTCCTTCCTGCGAGCTGCGAACACGCGGGTGCGCGACAACGGCGCATCATGCTGCATGTACAAGAAGCGGGCAGCGGTCCCACTCCCACTCCAACATCGACCACCGGCGACCCGGAAATAGATGCTTGTGATGCGGGTAAGTGTTGTGTTGTGTTGTAGGAGTGGGACAGAAGTCACGATAACTAACACCTGCGGCTGCGCGCCTTCCTATCGTGGCGACGAAAAAGCGTCGCCTCAATCGACGCAGACGCGCCCGCGCTGCTCGTGCAATGGAATGGAAGACTGTCTGTCGTCGAGGATCCACCAGCCCTACAGCCCCCTCTCCCTCCCTACAAACCCTGTTACCCTACCCTCCCCCCATTCCTTGCAAGGCACCTGAAACACCCGCAAGCCTTATCAGCTGAGGCGCTCCCCCCTCTGTCCTCCTTACCACGTATGTACAATAGTAACTAAGCACCCAAGCCAAGCGCAGCCAAGGCAAAGCAGCCGGAACCCGGAACCGGGCCCAGGGTCGGGGTCCCGACAAGCAGCGACGGAGCAGATGCGAAGGACGCTGTCTCGGAAAGCCCGGGGCGGGCAAGATCGGCCGGCCGTGCCCGCGCTGGCTGTGCCCGTCATGCTAGATGTGGACAGCGGGATATGTGTGCGTGCGTGTGTGTATGTGTGTGCGGCAGTGCGGCGGTGTGGCGCGCATGAAGATTGCGCGGTCTTTACGGACGCATTGGTGCGGCTGTGCCGTGTACTACGTACTATGTACGTGATGCCATGCTGAGGGAGAGGGCCGTGCCGTGTCGGCTGTCGCAAGCGTGCTTAACTTAACTACTGCTACTGTTGTATTGTGTCTATTGTACCTATGTACAGTACGAGTACGAAGCCGCTCACCGCCGTGCATGGCCGTGGCCGTGTCGGTATGTGTGTATGTGTGCATGCGTGTTGAGTCCGTTTCCGACGCGCACGCACGCACTCACGCCCAGCAGAAAGGAAGGAAGGAGTGCATCTGTAACCAGGTAGCTAGGTAGCTAGCTGGAGCGAGCGCAAGTACGGAGACTCGTACTACGTAGGTACCTAGTGTTTCCCCTGAGAAACCGAGACAGAAACCGAGACAAAGGAGACAAAGGAGACGGGGAGCTTTCGACCGTAACGGCGAGGTCGTGAGAAGCGGAGAAAGCTGATCAGAGGCCGTGCAGAGAGAGGGGGACCAAAAAAAAAAAAAAGTGAGATACGATGATTGACGTCGCCGTCGCCGTTGCGCACACGCACACGGACGCCCGCCGCCCGCCCAGCCGGGTAGGTTGCCGTTGACGACTGACTGACTGCAGCTCGTTGCCCTCTGTGCTCGCTCGGTCTCGGACGACAACGGTAGTTAAGGTGGTCGGTGGCGACGAGCGAGGCACTGCACTGGCAGTTGGCAGCTTGACTTGACTCAGGCTTAGATGTCTCGTCTCGTCGCGAACGCGATCAGCACGGAAGCCCGACCACCGGCAGTGAGTGGCACGCGTGCACGCCCAAAAAAAGAAGACCGTCGGTGTCGTGCGTGAGGATCAGACACCAGCACCCCCCCGGAGCCGACAAGGTACATAGCTAGGTACGGATTACTCGGGGAGCCCCCACCCGTCGCCGGGGGGTTGGGGGGTTTCGCTAGCTACGTACAGTCCACAATAAGTACTATACACCACCCTTACCCGACACCGACAGCCAAAAAGGCGACAGAAAGAACAAAAGACAAACAAGCCCGAAAAGTGCGGTGAGCGATGGAAGCCATGACGGAGATTGATATGGCGGAGGGCGGCAGGCCCCATAGACTCCCGGGTTAAGGCTGTGACAGGAAGCCGCAAACGGCAATGCGCGTGCCCCCGTGCCTCGCTTGGCGTTTTGCCCGTCAGGCTCCAGGGAGATCGTGGAGAAAATGGTTGCGGTTGTATCCAGCGGGTTCAAGGTTGCAACTTGATGTTGCCCCGTCACGTGATGTAGACGCGCGTGTCGGGCTTGGACCCTTGTTTCAGCGACGCGACACGCCCGCAAAAAAGCGCAGGGAAAGCGCTGACTGAGCTGTGGCTGGGGATGGAAGAAACACAACTCCCCTGCCCTGCTGCCCACCCCCATCTCTCCAATCTCTCTCTGGTCGTTTCTCGTTTCGTCTCGTCTCCGCTCCCGCTACCGCCACCCGCCCGCTCCATCCCCGTTTTCTCCAGCTTCCCACCCAACGAGATGAAAAGCGGCCTTGGTGGCTCCCCTTCCAATTCGCTCCAAATGAAGAGACGAACCCGCCCCGCCCAACGACGGGCCCACTCGAGGCGTCGATAAGCAGCGATCCGCGACGCAGGAGCCCCTTGGCACCCACCCCGCCGCGAGATGACGAACGTCGTCCCCCCGGCCAGCAAATCGCCGGCTTGCCTCTTGCTGCGATCGGCATCAGGCGTGCCCAGCTGCCTCGCAAGCCGAAGCCGCCCAGAGTCGAAACACACGTGTCGAAGAGCCGATCCTGATCTTTTGTGCCTGCGACCCGCCAGGCAAAATCATTCTTCGCTCATCTTCTTCGCTTTCCCTTTTTTCTCCTCCCTCCCCTGCTGGCTGAGTGTGCTTGCCTTGCTACTCTCGTCGCGCGCTCCCTTTGGATCTTCCCTCTCCGTACCCCCCTTGGGCTGGTACCTTTTCCTTGCCCGCCTTGTCTGCCTTGCCAGTCCTCATCTTTCGTGCGAGCCGCTGAGCATTGCGTGCTCCCCCACCCTCCCACCATGCTGTCGAGCTTCCAGCGCGCGCTCCTGGCCGCTGTCGCCGCTCTCCTGCTCCTCGCCGTCCTCGTCCGCAACTCCACCACCATCCAGGATGCCGTGCCCTCCCGCTTCTCCCACACCTCGTCAGCAAAGTCGGGCGATGCCCTCAAGGCGGTAGGCTATGCCGCCGAGTATGTCGAGTCTCCCATGCCGCCCGACTGGAGCTTCATCACTGTGCGGGACTCGCGCAACTACGGCCTCAGCGAGGCTCAGTGTGACGCCGCTTTCCCGCGCCTCTGGTCCGACATCGAGCGCGGCCTGGCGTACCGGAAAGAGGTGGGCAACATTACGGTTGAGGATATGGAGCTCAACTGGCGCCAGGAGGCCGTCGTTCGGGCCATGATCTATGACCACCAAGTAATTTCTCACCGCTTGCCCTCGGCTACCTGAAGAGGGTCCAATGGCTGATTGTTCTTTTTTTCCTGTAGCTCTATGTTCTCGACGTCAAGGGCTGCTCGCCGAGGCGCGACCTGCGCGAGCGCGCCCTCGCCGTTTTGCTCTCCATCAACCGCGCGGTGACGTCGTACACGGGCCCGCTGCCGAACATCGAATTTACCTTCTGCGTCGACGACTGGGCGTACCATTCGCTGCTGGACGAAAACTCGAAGCCCGTGACCTGGGGCTTCACGCGACTGCCCGATTGGGACGACGTCTGGATCATGCCCGACTTTGGCTACTGGTCGTGGCCGGCGGAGCCGGTGGGCGAGTACAGCCAGGTGCGGACCGGCATGCGGCTGCAAGAGGCCGGCCGCCGCGCAACGACGGACGAGGAACTGCAGCATTCGCGCAAGAAGACGCTGAGGAGCTTCCGTGACAAGAAACCCAAGGTCGTCTGGCGCGGTGCGCTCATCACGGAGCAGCGCCAGAGGCTCATCGACTTGTGGGAGAACAAGCCGTGGAGCGACATCCACGGCTTCGACTGGGGCGCGCCCGACCACAAGTCCAAGTACGTCAAGATGATGGACCACTGCCAGTGGCAGTACGTGCTGCACACCGAGGGCAACAGCTACTCGGGCCGCCTCAAGTACCTGCAAAACTGCCACAGTGTACCCGTGATTCCGGAGCTGATGTGGCAAGAGGCGCACCACGGGTTGCTGGTATCGAGCGGAGACTCGCAGAACTACGTCCAGGTGCGCGCCGACTACGAAGATTTGGGCGAGAAGATTGAATATTACCTCGCCAACCCCATCGAGGCGGAGCGCATTGCCGACAACAACGTCCGCACCTTCCGCGACCGCTATCTCACTCCCGCTGCTCAGGCATGCTACTGGCGCAAGCTGATCCGCGCGTGGCGCGAGATTAGCTTCGAGCCTGAGTTGTTGGACGAGGAGGGCAACATGCGTGGCATGCCGTTTGAAACTTATGTGTAAGTTCCCGATTTGGGCAATAATCGATCTTGTTCAACGAACGATCCGCTGACGAGCCTCGTAACAGACTGGTGGACATCTACGACCAGAACCCCTGGCTGGGCGACCCCGGAGCGCCCGGCGTTCTGTAAATTCCGGAACGGGCCCCGCCCTGCAGAGCAGCAGCAGCTGAGGTTGCACCACATCGGTGCGGACAGCACCGGCAAAAAGAAAAAACGACGCATACATGAACGCCGAGCAGATCAGCTCCAGCAGAGCGGGTGACACGCCATCATCCCGCCGTTCGTTCCGTATTTAATCTGCCGCTCGGAGTCCGACGACCCCTGCGTGCTCTCTATATCTCTTCCTCTATACTTTTTTTTGCGGTTCAGCTCAGCTCTTTGCATCCCAAAAGCACGAATCCGCTGCTGTCGACCAGCCTGACCTAGACTCGAACTCGACATCGTCATCGTCATCCCGCCGTGTGACGCTCCGCCGCCACGGAAATTCTTCGCCGTTCATTGAAGCTGTGCCGGACGGTCGAACTGTCGAGCCGGCGTACCGGATCACGCTCCCGTTGCAGCTGCACCCGGACAGACGTCTGCGTCGGTGGAATAGAGAGTCGTGGCGAGAAGGGGCATCGCCGCCGAAGATAGATGGCGGTGGTGGTGGTGGTTGTGAGGCTGATGTGACCAGAAGCAGACCGACGTGCGGCGCTGTGGGATGCGAGTGTGGCTGGTTCTTGCTGTGCGCTACCTTGGTAGTATCGGACTTGGGTGCCATGGCTGTCGCATAGTGTAGCGTACTGGCAGGCGTTTTTTCAGATTAGATACCCGAATAATAAGGATGTTAGCTGGCTGACTGGCTCGAGTTTTGTGCTACTGTGGTGTGGTGCGGTCTGATGTTACCTAACTTCCTGGATTTGAGGTTCGTGGTTGTGACGAAGTAGGAGGAGGTAGGTAGGTAGGTGCGATGGATTTGGATTCCTGTTTCCTTTCGTTCTTGCACCTACGTAGGTTCTTCCTTGGGTCTGATTTGCCCTCTGCATACGTAAGCACGTGTACGCGCGCTGCTGATATCGACGTCTGCCTTCATTGACGTATGGTGCTAGCGGAGTGAAGCAGAGAGGATTGCAAGAGAGTAAAGGAAGCCGGGCGGGGTTGTGCGCGTGCGTAGGAGGTGTACTGCATGCTGCTCAAGTGCTCCTACTCTTCTGGGTGACTGCTCGTTTGGGTAGGTGGCTCTTTCCTCATCTATAAATTGCTCCACGCTACCTACTGCACGCATTCTTCCACGGGCTGCGAGTGCTAAGGTACCTACCCTGCCCAGTCCGCTGATGTGCTTTACCTACCTAGGTATCTATGCTGAATAGACGGATGAGCGCGTCAAGGAGAGAGAAGATGTTGGCGTAGGTAGGTGCTAGCAGGGAGGAAAGCATACGGAGTGGGAGTGACGTACCTAGTGTTATTGAAGTTCTGTTCGGGGGCTCTAGCGTTTGTAGAGTGGGAATATAAGTGCTGCAGACGCGGGGATAAGTGTAGGTGTGCGTGAGAAATGCTTGGATGTCTTGAGTATAAGAATCCAGCTTTGAGTAGAACGGATATTTCTCCAATGCAGCAAGAATCATATACGTACTCATCCTAGCTTTAAGTGTTTGCAATTTCCTACCGCGTAACTGTGTCGTATCATATCATATGCATGCATGCATCGCTGAGTCCCACCACAAATGCCCACCAAACAAACAATCAAGCAAGCAAGCACAACCAAGCATAGAAAAAACGACGTAGTAGTGAATTGGAGAGAGACGAACAAACGACTCGAACACCCTTGGCACCGGGCTTAGATTTACAGTGATATCACTCTTCTTCCAGCAGACCTCCCCATCCAACCAATTTTCGGCGCGGCGACATGCGCCTTTCTCAACACAGACGCCGCGCTCCCCTTTTCTCCTCTGTGCACCGCACCCACCATCAGAATAACAATGGTGGTGCCCTCGCGCTCCCGCGCCTCCTATCCGCCAATTTACAGCAGCAGCTCAAGCGGGTTCTCAATGACCTTCTTCAGCTCGCGCATGAACTCGCCACCAACAGCGCCGTCAACGACCTTGTGGTCAAACGAGCCCGTCAGGACAATCTGGTCGTCCCACTCGATGCCCGTCTCGCCGTCCGCGCCCTCCACGGGGATAGCGACCTTCTTGGTCGTGCCGACGGCCAGGATGGCCGCCTGAGGGGGGTTGATGACGGCAGTGAAGCGGTCAATGGCGTCGTTCATGCCCATGTTCGAGATGGTGAAGGTGCCGCCCTGGTACTCCTCGGGCTTAAGCTTGCCGTCGCGCGCGCGCTTGCCAAGCTCCTTGATCTGCGACGAGATGCTCTGCAGGCCCAGGCCATTGACGTTCTTGACAATGGGCGTCATCAGGCCGACGGGCGTCGCAACAGCGACCGAGACGTCAACGACGTTGTGCTGGCGGATGACGGTCTGGCCGTCAACCTCGCGCCAGGAGGAGTTGACCGCAGGGACCTTGCGGCACGCGATGGCGCAGGCCTTGATGAGGAAGTCGTTGACCGACAGCTTGTACGCGCCGTTGGAGGAGGCGTTGAGGGCCGCGCGCAGCTTGCCGAGCTTGCTGACGGAGACGGTCGAGGCGACGAAGTAGTGGGGGTTCTCCTGCATCGACTCCTTCAGGCGGTTGGCAATGGTCTTGCGCATGCTGCTGGCGGGGATGTCCTCGTAAGTGGGAGTGCCCGCGGGAGCGCCAGCGGGACCGGCAGCAGGCTTGTACTTCTCCACGTCCTGGACGGTGATGCGGCCGCCGGGGCCGGTACCCTTGAGAGAAGCAATGGGAACACCCTTCTCAAGCGCAATCTTCTTGGCCGCAGGAGCGATGATGGGCTCGCGGTCAAGGACGGTCTGGAGGCGCGCGCCAGTGGACTCGGACTCCTGGGGAGCGGGCTGCGACTCCTTGCCAGCGGGAGGCGAGGTCTTGGAGCTAGAATCAGCGGGCTCAGAAGCCTCAGCGGCCTCCTGCTTGGGCGCCTCCTTGGGGGAAGACTTGTCACCACCGGCATCCTCAATGGAGAAGGACTCGAAAGCAGAGACATCGCCACCCTCCTCAACCATAACGGCAATGGGCTGTTTATCCAAGTCAGTCCAAATTGTCCACTCTGCACGTGGTCTCGGCCGGGGTGTTGCTTACGGCGCCAACGGCGACATCCTTCTCACCAGACTCCTTCAGGATCTTGGCGACGACGCCCTCCTCCTGGAACTCGAAGTCCATCTGGGCCTTGTCGGTCTCGATCTCTACGAGAACGTCACCAGGGGCGATAGAGTCGCCGGGCTTCTTTTGCCAGGTGCCGATGTTGCCGGCCGTCATGGTAGGCGACAGGGCCGGCATGCTGACGACGGTGTGCGGGGGGAAAGCTGCATTGGCGACAATGGTCAGCCGGGCTATGCGGCGCAATGGTTGAGACGGGGGCGGGAAGACATACACTTGGAGGCATAGTAGCGGGCGAGAGCTGAAAGCGCCGGAGTGGAGCGTCTGCGCGCGGAAACGTGAAAGTCAGCACGGCGACGGGCATTGAGCCGTCGGAGCAGGCGGCGCAAGACTCACTGGGCAAACAGCTGGGCCCGGGAAACGGTCCTCAGGCCGGCGGAAGCGCGCAGGGCGGAGCTGCGAGAAAGGACTGCCGCAGCGGACATTGTGGAGAGGTGGGATGGATGGAGCGGGCGGCTGAGGCGGAGGGGGAGAAATTGGAGAAAATGAGCGAGGGGAACGGCGGCGGGGAAGGAAGCGATGAAGCAGGAGACACCGCGACTAAAGTCGACCCTCTTGTGGTGGATGTGGTGGTGAATGTAGGCAGCGTCGGACTCAACAGCTTCTTTTCGTTGGCCTCCGATCCGGGCGGACTTTCATGGGCTTCGGATAATCTTCGACTACCTGACTCGCGCCTGAGGCCTCCAACGCATCGCTGAGGATACGAGGCATCATCGCGCTTTCGACCACCAAACCGCATTCCCCCCCCCGCCATGACATGAGCTCCCGCCCCGTCCGCCCACCTACTACCCACTAATCGCACGCCATGGCCGACGCGGAGCCTACCAGAGACCCTCTGCCTTCACCACCCGCACCCGAGGGGCCCGACACCGACGACCATGTTCCCCATACCCACGAGCATGTGACGACGACTGAAGAGCAGGAGCCGCAGGAACCCGTTGAGCCCGCTGAGGCTCCTGAGCCGCAACCCGCCGACGACATTGCAGAAGAGCAGGCTCCCGACGCATCAGACAATCCTGCGCCTGTCGAATCTCAAGAAGAGCCAACTCCCGAAGAGTCCGCCAGCGAGGAGCCGCCGCAGCAGGAAGAGGCCGCGCCGCCGCCACCACCAGCAATATCACTGCCGGAAGATGACGCGAGCGCAGCCGGACGAGATGCAGTCTCGCCCACCACGCAGCCCGAGACGCCTCCCTCGATACGAATGCGCACCGACTCGCAATCCACCGCGGCCACCAACGCGACGGCGAGAACCTCGACGCGCAGCTCCCTCGTATTCGTCGTGACGGCATTGGAGTTCATCGCCGCCTCCAAGGATGCGCGGAAGAACCAGAAGCTGGGCACCGCGACCCAGCGGGCTTTGACCACCATCAAAGGCGAGTCGGATCCGCACAACCTCGACCCAGAGGTCCTCTTTGAGCCTTTGCAGCTCGCGACGGAGGCGCACACTATCCAGGTCGTCACCACCGCCCTCGATTGCATTGGCAAGCTCATCAGCTACTCCTACTTCTCCTACCCCGTCGAAACACCCGCCGGAGCACCGGAGCAACCGCCGCTCATCGACCGCGCCATAGACACAATATGCGATTGTTTTCAGATGGATGCGACTCACGTCGAGGTCGAGCTGCAGATTCTCAAATCTTTGCTTGCGGCCATCTTGAACGACAAGATTGTCGTGCACGGAGCTGGCCTGCTCAAGGCTGTCAGACAAACCTACAACGTCTTCCTACACTCGAAATCGAGCAACAATCAAGTGGTCGCTCAGGGAGCTCTGACCCAGATGGTCGGCACGGTATTCGAGCGCGTCAAGGCAAGGTTGCGCATAAAGGAGGCAAAGCTCAACCTGTCCAAAACCTCCCTCAACAAGGGCAGCTCTGGAGACATTACTCCCGAAGACGACGACATTGGCGCAACAGGGAGTCACGATGCCGACCAGGATGACGACTTGTCGGAGGCTGCTAGCGAACTTCCGGTGGAGAAGGACAACTCCGCGAAGATCACCCTGCAGAGCTTCGAAAACCGCAAGAGTTTTGACGATGCACGGATAGCAGACAACGCCCCGACATTAGTCACTCGCGCGAAAAACCGGCGGACGCCATCTCGGACAAACACTAGTCGATCTGACGCCGAAGGTGGTGAGGGCTCCGACGAAGAAGAGGAAGACGAGATCTACGTGAAGGATGCGTATCTTGTCTTCCGCGCCATGTGTCGCCTGAGCACCAAGGCGGTGCCTGTCGAGGAGGCACAGAACGTCAGGTCCCAGAGCATGAGGTCGAAATTGTTGGCGCTGCATATAATCCATACCATTCTTCACAACAACGTGGCCGTCTTCATCTCCCCTTATGCCACGATCCGCAGCAGTAACACAGCGGAGCCGACCACGTTCGTGCAGGCCATTAAGCAATATCTTTGCCTAAGCTTGAGTCGAAACGGCTCCAGCTCCATCAAGCAAGTTTTTGAGGTCAGCTGCGAGATTTTCTGGCTCATGATCAAGCAACTCCGCGTCATGCTAAAGAAGGAAATCGAAGTCTTCTTGAAGGAGATCTACTTGGCAGTCTTAGAAAAGCGCACTGCGCCTGCATTCCAAAAGCACTATTTTTTGATTATTCTACACAGGATCGCGGCTGATCCCAGAACTTTGGTCGAGATCTATCTCAACTATGACTGCGACCGGACGGCCTTGGACAACATGTTCCAAAAGATCGTTGAGCATATTTCAAGAATATCCAGTACACCAGTGGCAATCACTGCACAGCAGCAGCAGCTTTACCAAGAGCAACACGCAAAGCAAGCGAGCAGTCCTTCGGATTGGCATAATCGCGGCACCATTCCACCGTCGCTCGCAACAATGTCAATCCAACCTGCTAATGAAAAGGAGGACCAAGGATTCCCCCCAGAATATTCCTTGAAGCAAGAGTCTTTAGAGGCTCTGGTCGAAATCCTCCGATCTTTGGTTAATTGGGCTTCACAGAGTCTTTCGGCTGCAGCGCAACAGATCCAACAAAATGACTCGAGAACCTCAGTTGAAGACTCCATTAGGGACTCCATCGACACGCGGTCTGGTACATGGCCTTCACCATTCCCTGGTTCGGAGACGCCAAATGGCCAGAGCACACCATTGCCGCTGCCGGAGGATGACCCAAGCCAGCTTGAAAAAGCAAAACAGCGCAAGACTGCTCTGAACAACGCGATACGTCAATTTAACTTCAAGCCGAAGCGTGGGCTAAAGATACTTCTCAAAGAAAGTTTCATCAAATCCGACGCTCCAGAGGATGTCGCAAGGTTCCTTCTCAGCAATGATCACATCGACAAGAAAGCTCTTGGCGAGTTCCTCGGAGAAGGTGACGACTACAACGTCAAGATCATGCATTCTTTTGTAGACTGTATGGATTTCAACAGGACCCGCTTCGTTGATGCCCTGCGCCGCTTCTTGCAGAGCTTCCGCCTTCCGGGTGAGGCGCAGAAGATTGATCGCTTTATGCTCAAGTTTGCTGAGCGTTATATTTCTGGAAACCCGAATGCTTTTGCCAATGCCGATACCGCCTATGTTCTTGCCTACTCTGTAATCATGTTGAATACCGATCAGCACAGCACGAAATTGAAGGGTGCCCGAATGACACCTGAGGATTTCATCAAGAACAACAGAGGTATCAATGACAACGCCGATCTTCCGGACGAGTACCTTCGTGGAATTTTCGATGAAATATCCAACAACGAGATTGTCCTCAACACTGAACGCGAAACGGCCGCCAATATGGGAATGATGCCTCAGCCCAACAACCAAGGCCTGGCTGCCAACATTGGTCAAGCTTTAGCTACGGTTGGCCGCGACTTGCAGAGAGAAGCCTATGTCCAAGCCTCAGAAGAGATGGCAAACCGGACGGAACAGCTCTACAAAAGCTTGTTGCGCGCACAGCGGCGAGGCCCTTCCCGCTTCCCTGTTTCCAAGTTCATCCCCGCCTCTTCGTTCAAGCACATTGGCCCAATGTTCCAAGTCACATGGATGCCGTTCCTTACGGCACTGTCTGGTCAAGCTCAGGATACGCACAACCTGGAGACGATTAAGCTTTGCATGGAAGGCCAGAAGCTTGCAATTCGCATTGCCTGCTTGTTCGACCTGGAGGATCCGCGCCAAGCCTTTGTTGCCTCCCTAGCCAAATTCACTAGCCTCTACAACGTCAGTGAGATGAAAGCAAAGAACATCGAGGCGCTGTATTGCCTACTGGATGTTGCTCAGCATGAGGGTAACTTGCTGAGGGATTCCTGGCGGGAAATTCTCACGTGCATAAGTCAACTCGACCGGTTCCAGCTCATCTCCGCAGGCGTAGACGAAGGCATCCTGCCCGACGTGATGATGAGAAGCAGCTCTGTCTCTAGCAAATCTTCTGCCAGCAGAAAGTCACTGCAGCCGCCAAACAATCGCCGAACCCGTTCGACGACCACCTTTTACCAAGCCGAAGCTGCTGCAGAGAGCCGCTCCGCAGATATGATCCGCGCAGTCGATCGCATCTTCACCAACACCGCCAATCTTTCTGGAGAGGCCATCTTATACTTCGTCAAGGCGCTGGTTCAAGTTAGCTGGCAAGAGATTCAATCGTCTGGTCAGAGCGACTCCCCGCGGACCTACAGTTTGCAAAAGCTCGTCGAGATTAGCGGTTACAACATGACGCGTGTTCGCTTCGAATGGACGAATATCTGGCAGGTACTCGGTGAGCATTTCATCCAGGTTGGCTGCCATACAAACACCAATGTTGTCTTCTTCGCGCTTAACAGCTTGCGTCAACTTTCCATGAAATTCACGGAGATCGAAGAGCTTCCCGGTTTCAAGTTCCAAAAGGACTTCCTAAAGCCGTTTGAGCATATCATGAAGAACACAAGCGTGGTAACAGTCAAGGATATGGTGCTCCGCTGCTTGATTCAAATAATCCAAGCACGGGGTGAGAACATCCGCTCGGGATGGCGGACCATGTTTGGTGTCTTCACGGTCGCGGCGAAGGAACCTTACGAGGGCATCGTCAACCTGGCATTCGACAACATCACCCAAGTGTACAACACTAGATTTGGCGTAGTGATCTCTCAGGGTGCTTTTGCTGATCTCATCGTCTGCTTGACCGAATTCTCGAAGAACCACAAATTCCAGCGCAAGTCCCTGCAGGCAATTGAGACGCTCAAGTCAAGCGTGCCGAAAATGTTGAGGACTCCCGAGTGCCCGTTATCGCAGACTTCGAACGCACCCAAAGAGCCTCCTCAATCTGCAACCTTGCCGAAGCAGCCGACAAAGCAGACGCAGGAGGAGCAGTTCTGGTTCCCAGTGCTGTTTGCCTACCACGATGTGCTGATGACTGGAGAAGACTTGGAAGTACGGTCAAGGTAAGTGATAAACTACTACGATGTTTGTTTAGTCAAGATATACACGCTGACAATACTGTCTTCCACAGAGCTTTGACATATCTTTTTGAAACTTTGACACAATATGGTGGTAACTTCCCGCAAGACTTCTGGGATACTCTTTGGCGCCAGATACTATACCCGATCTTTATGGTTTTGCGGTCCAAATCAGAAATGTCAAACGCCCTCAACCACGAAGAACTCACTGTCTGGCTTTCGACAACCTTTATCCAGGCGCTTCGGCACATGATCAACCTCTTCACTCACTTCTTCGAATCTCTGGAGTACATGCTAGACCGCTTCCTCGACCTTCTGGCTCTCTGCATATGTCAGGAGAACGATACACTCGCCCGCATTGGTAGCAACTGTCTGCAACAGCTTGTACACCAAAACGTTAAGAAGTTCACTCAAGACCACTGGGAGAAGATTGTCAGCGCGTTCGTTGACCTATTTAACCGGACCGAGGCCACCGCCCTGTTCTCCGCAGCGACCTCGGCGTCTTACACGCCTAACGGCTCGAAGATGGTCCGAACGCCGTCCGTGGGTGCAACGAGCATGTCCGACCTGCCCCTGTCGCATTCCCCAACGTTCGAGAGGCCTGAGATGGAGGAAAGTGGCCTCGGTATCGATGGTCTCTTAACGTCCCATGGCAGTTCTGCCGTCTCGTCGGACGAATCCGGTTTCGTCAATGGTAACGCACGAACCGACTTGGAGAACTACAGCTCCACGCCCGAGCTCCAACAAGCACCAGTCGTGGTCACAGCGGCACGCCGCCGCTTCTTCAACCAGATCATCACCAAGTGCGTGCTGCAGCTGCTGATGATCGAGACGGTCAACGAGCTCTTCTCCAACGACGACGTGTACAGCCAGATTCCATCGGCGCAGCTGCTGCGCCTGATGATGCTCCTGAAGAAGAGCTACCAGTTCGCGAAGCGCTTCAATGAGGACCGCGAGCTGCGCACCAAGCTGTTCCGCGAGGGCTTCATGAAGCAGCCGCCCAATCTGCTGAAGCAGGAATCGGGGTCGGCGGCCGTGTACGTGAGCATTCTGTTCCGGATGTACCACGACACATCGAGCGAGCGCAAGAGCAACCGCAAGAACACGGAGGAAGCGCTGATACCGCTGTGCGTGGACATCGTGACGGCGTACACGGCGCTGGACGACGAGACGCAGCAGCGCAATATTGTCACGTGGCGGCCCGTGGTCATTGACGTGCTGGACGGGTACGCGGGCTTCCCGCCTGAGGACTTTGACCGCCACGTTCAGACGTTTGCGCCGCTGATTGTGGCGCTGTTGGCCCGCGAGATGGGCATGGATCTCCAGCGCAGTGTGCAAGGGCTGCTGCAGCGCATCTTTGAGGCGAAGCTGGGCATTCCGCCGACGGAGCTGGTTGGGGGGAAGGCGACGAGCCCGGAGAGGAGGCAGAGTGTTTTTGGACGGAGGGGGAGTAAGGGGAGGTAAAGAGTTGGTGGCATGACGGTTGGGGTTGGTGAGAAGGATGAAGAGGAGAAGGTGCGGATATATGGCCTTGTAATGTGTGTTTTTTTCCTTGCGTGCTAGAGTTGCGTGCGGGTGAGTGGCAACGGACGGCATCGGCAGCAGTGGGCATCAGAGGAGGAGGATGAGGAGGAAAAATCGTGTACGCACGCACGCAGCTCATACATACGGTTGGAAGAGCCTGCCTGTCTTGCTTGGATTGCCTGCATGCTCCATGCCAGTCACCCAGCACACCAGCGCCAGCGCACCCGCCACAACAAACGAGCAAAGGAAAGGAAAAGAGAAAAAAAGGAAAAAAAAAAAAAAAGAAGCAACGCGACTTTTCGTTCTCGATACTTTCCGAGTAGGCGTTTTATATCTGTGGCAGGCGAGAATTGAGCGAGGAAAGCAGGGAACAGGGGAACGAACGAACGAGAGAACGAACGAATCTTGGATACAGTACACCTAGTCAGTACGCGCTGCACTGCACTGCACTGTACTGTACTATACGTATGAGCATGAGAACGAGACGAGCGAGCACGAGCGAGACGTATTTATCTATCTATTCTATCTATTCTAGCCTTTTATTTATCGTTCTTTTCTTCTTCGACACTTTCACTGTCCGGCACGGCACTGTCGTTGGACGATATGGGATGGGTGGCTTTTTTTTGTGTATTATATTTATTAGTTACTACTACTGCTGTTGCTGCTATATTCCAGTGCGTTTCACTGTGGGCTTGTTTGGGTGTTGTGTTGTATTGAGTGAATGACTTCTTCGTCGATGGTATACTCAACAATGCCAGGGTGAAGAAGTTCAGTTCAACATCGAGCAGAACAAGTCCGTCGATATCGTGCTCCGCTCCGGCTGCTCTTACATACGAGACCCTTCCCACTCACTGCTTCAAATCATTGTGAGCACAACCACACACTACACGCATTCATATGAAGAAGCAAAAATCGTGCGTTTAAACAAACAGCTCATCTATCGAATTCCCCCATCATACAACAAGCCGCTTCCCCTCATAATGTCCAAAGCGCTAATTTCATCCCGCTATGCCTTGCATAATCCATCCATCATTTTTCTCATCGAAACACAAACCTGTCGCCGTCTTTCAAGCGCAGAAGAGTGGGGGGTATCGCTAAGCGCAGCAGCCCGCAATTCGTCTTCCGCGCCCACAGCCAAGGGATTCGCCGACCCCTTAACCGGCGTGCTCCACAATCTCCGACACGAGCTTGCCGTTCTTGATGTAACTCTTGAACTGCTCGGGCACGGGCTGCTCCGCGTAATCGTCATCCTCGGTCGCAGGCGGCACGTTGATGTTCACGCTCGTGCACTTGCTCGTGAAGATCTCCGTCTCCAAGCTGTCGCGGCTGAGGTACACGGCCGCGCCGTCGACCTGGTCAAGCAGGATCGTCGGCATCGTGCCCAGCACCTGCACTGCGAAATTGGGGCACTTGATCACATCGACCGACGAGACGAGGCTGTCGACAATGATCGAGGTGCGCGCGCAGTTGTCGATCGAGATGGCGTTGGCCTTGTTCGTCACCCGGATCGTCGTGTTCTTGCAGTGCGAGATCAGGATGGACTGCACAATGGTCGCCTCGATCTCAACGGGCTCAGCGGGCGAGTCGAAGTTTTCCTATACAGGTATTAACATCCAATCATCATCTCTAGCGTGGTTCGACTTACGATTATCCACTTGTTGCCGTCAAGCTCCTTCCTGGGCGGCTTCTTCAGGCGCATGTTGTCCGGCTTCGGCTTGTGTGGCGGCGCAGGGGTCTTGCTGCCAGTGCTGTCTTTCCTCTCCGGCACGGCGCTGTTCTCACGCAGGGTGGGGTTCTTGTGCGTCATCTGGCTCGGGTCAACCTTGCGCAGACCGGACGTAACCGCTTCTCCGCGGTTCAGCTGATCGAACACGGCACCCATGTCCGCAGCGGGGCGGCTCGCACCACCCGCCGGAGGCATCGGCGGAGGCGGCGGGCCAGGCGGTGGCGGCGGCGGAGGAGGCGCGCCGCCCGCGGGAGGTGCGGGCGCAGGAGGAGCGCCGCTGGGTGCCGCGCCTCCAGACTGGATTTGGCGCAGGGCTTCAGAAGCGTCGATACCACTAGGGTTCCACTGTACGCCCTTGGGGTGGTACTCTTTGATGTAGGCGATGAGGGTCTTGAAAAGCCTGTAGAAGGACTGAACCCATTCCACGTGTGCGCGGTTCCTACGGCATTGTTAGTCCTTCTGTATGAAGCTGCCAGGTCTCCGGAGAACGTACGTCTCTTTGTAATCCTTCAGAACCTTGTTGCCATACATCTGCGCGCCACCAAACAGCTCCTCGGCTACCTTTGCGGGGCTGCCTTCGATCGTGACCCAGCCCAGCAAGCCGACGCCGTCGGCGACCATGGTAACGTGGTTCTTGAGCTCAAAGTTCTTGCAGCTCTGCTTGAGAGCCTCCACGTTGCCCATGGCGACCTGCAGGTCTTTCAATGTCTCGGCGAATGCCTTGGACTGGTTGCCAGGGTTCTTGGCCTTTGTCGCAAGGAGGAGGAATTGGCGCTGCGCATTGAAGGCTTGGACAACGGCCGCAGCCTGTGACGAATGTGTTAGCAGAGTGTATGACGGATAGTAGAAGTAAGTCTTAAACATGCCTGCTCAGCAACGGTCGGGTCCAGCTGCTTGCTCAGGTCGTCGAACTCCTTGAGGTCGCCCCCAAGCAGCTCGTCAAAAGCGACGACCGAAGCAGGAAGCTCGGAGTCAGCGGCCGAGGCAGCAGCCGGAGGAGCAGCTCCGGCACTGGCGGCCAGCGCGCCCGGAGCATTGTTGAGCACGGTCGGCTGGTCGAAGGTGGACGAGGCAATGTCCTCGAGGCGCGAGGTGGCCGCTTCCAGCCTGAGGGTGAGGCGTGTCAGCGCATCGTTGGCGACGGGGATGGTAGAGGACAGGTGGATGGGGTCCATGGCAAGCGTAGCGTAAGGTATACGTACCGCTTTATGAGGGTGGTGAGATTGTTCATGTTGTTTTGCGCCATTGTAGGCAGGAGCGGGAAGGGGGAGGCGCTATTTCTAGTAGGCGCGATTAGGGGGAGCCAACGTTCCCACTAGTCGACAGTACAGGACGCGCAAAAGATGACAGGATGTTGGTGGAGGAAGCAGATCCGCGGCCGAGTCAGTGCTTCGACTTCGTTGTCTTTGTTGTCTGGGGCTCAAGCGACGACCCTCTCAAATGCACGAGCTGCAGGCCAAATCAGGGTACAGAGAGCCTATGCCCGCCCTCCCCCTCTCCGTCCTCCTCGACACCCTCTTCTACATAAACATGGCCGACGACGAGGACCTTTCCATAGATTTTGTGAGCCTGGGCATGTTTATTCTCGGTACACCGCCTCTCTCCGCTCTCCGCAGCCATCGACCACAGTCCTGAGACGCGTGCCTGTATACAGATGACATCGAGTTCAAGCCGCCCACAGCGCCCGTCACAAACGTCGTTGGCGGCGCCGGCTCCTACTCGGCCATTGGCGCCCGCATCCTGTCCCCGCCGCCGCTGTCGCGGTCGGTGGGCTGGATAGTCGACTGCGGCTCCGACTTCCCCGCTGAGCTTCGACAAAGCATCTCCGAATGGGACACGAGCTGCCTGTTCCGCGACACGCCCAATCGCCTCACCACCCGCGGCTGGAACGGCTACGGCGAAAACGAGCGTCGAGGTATGCTTTCTTTAGTCTCGAAATTATTCCGTCTCGCACCCCGCAGCATGATCAACACTCCATGTTTCACTTCTGTCGTCATGTTGCCTATTCCGCCCACCTCCGCTGCTTCACTCCCTGTTTCGCGTCCATTCTAACACATCATAGAATTCAAATACCTCACCCCCAAGCTGCGCATAGATCACGAATCTCTGACACCTGAACTCACCATGGCCAAATCCTTCCATCTCATTTGTAGCTCAATGCGTGCTGCTGACCTCGTCACCAATATCTTGCTTCAGCGTAAGACGCTGGCCGAAGACAAATGGGTGAATCTTCCGCTTTTTATCTGGGAGCCCGTGCCCGACCTCTGCACGCCCGAAGAATTTGAAAACGCTCTTTTGGCTCTCAGATGCGTGGACGTCGTCAGCCCCAATCACGGCGAGCTGGGCGGTTTCTTTGGACGTGACACTACCACGCCAGAAGGCGACGTTGACAAGCAGGCTGTTGAGGAGTGCTGCGAGTTCTGGTTGAATGCCGGCGTCGGTGCCAAGGGTGAGGGGGCTGTGGTGGTGAGGGCTGGAAAGGATGGATGTTATATCGCAACGCGTGAATTACGACGATGGTTGCCTGCTGTTCACAAATCACCTGAAAAGGTGGTTGATCCTACTGGTGGTGGAAACGGCTTTCTCGGAGGACTGGCCGTTGGCTTGGTACGAGGCGGCGCCACGCCAGGAGTGCATAATGTGGAAGAAGCAGCGGTGTGGGGAAGTATCGCGGCAAGCTTTGCGATTGAACAGGTGGGAATGCCGGTGCTGGAGAAGGGAGAAAATGGAGAAGCTGAGAAGTGGAATGGTGTCAAAGTCGAAGATAGAATCAGAGAGTATAGACAAAGACTGGAGTCTTAGATCCAGCCTTCAAAGTATAAAATTGAAACCGTAGAAAATTGGAACGTGCAGACTGCAAAGAAAATGGGCTGTAGCGGCAGGAAAGAATCAAAAGACTCGAAAACAAAGGCCGTACCGCCATATGCAGCTTTGAAGCGTGTCGACAGCGCGCAACGGCAACTGTCCTGGTTTTACTCTCTCGGAAGAGCTCGTGTCAAATCACCTGTATCGATACACTTCACTGGCCGCCGTCAATGGCTGTGCTCTTCGGAATATACATTGGTTGTCCGATGCGCTCGTCTATGATCCCTCCCTCTGCGCGCGCTCGTGTTCTCTGATCTCCCTGCTCCAGCTGCAATGTTCTTGTCAGCAACTCTTCTCGATCGTCTCTCGACATGCACGCGCCAATTGCGCCGCCAGGTATGTAACAGGAAGGGGTCCTCACTATCTGCTAGGGAAGAACCTGCCGGGCTCGGGGAACCTATCGCGGTGCTCGCGGTCGGCGCTGACGCTCCAAGCCAGGGCGACAATGCCGATCATGAGACCGCCAATCGCGGCGGTGTTGGCTTTCCAGTTCTTAGGCTGCGAGTACCAGCCACCGGCGGGCGACCAGACATGCTTGGGGTAACTTTGGGGGGAATTAGCTGGGCGGTGGCGGGGGCAATGGAGCGATTGGCAGCGTACGGGATCTTGTCGCTGCCCATGACTTGAGTCTTCTGCATGATGGGCTACTGGGATGCGGGTGGTGCTATGGGAGCTCTGGGGGAGGTGGTGGAGCTGGGCGGCATCGTAGGTCATCGGCGCTCGGCAAACGTTAGTCCGCGTGTGGCAGGCCGGGCATCTTCGCAACTTCTCGGCGGGCGAAGAAGCTGGGTCTGGAGGTTTCCTTCAGCCTGCGAAATTTTGGGCCAGCACGCCAATTGACAAGCCACCCCCTCCCGCCAGCTGCTCGCGCCCATCCCGCCGCCCCGGATATGAAGAGATTACGGATAGACCGGTTGGGCGCCGTTCGCTCTTTCACGCGCCTGGCCGCACGCCCTCGCCCGCAATGTCCCTTCCAGCAGTCCCAACGCCCGCACCAGTCGGCCGTGCCTCAGTACAGGCCCATGCCTGGTTATAGGCTCCAGTCAACCACCTCTACCCCGCCGAACCCTCCCGAAGTTCCGGCTGTAAAGGCCGATCCCGAAGTCGACCTTGACCACGAGGATCTTGTCGTCGGTCCGCCAGAACTCGAGTCTCTCCCCTCCCCTCCCGTCAGCGCTGCCTCCCGCTCTGCGAAGCTCTCTGCCCTTCATGCTCGTCTCTCACTTCCCAAGAGGGTTCCTGTCCAATCGCTCGCCCGGACACTCGTCGACCCTTCCGCAGACAGCAACCAGGATTTCAATAACGCCGCCCTCGCGACCCTAGGCAGCGACCTTATGGGCTACTACACTAGCGAACATATCATCTGTCAATATCCGCGCCTGCCCATGGCTGTGCTTTTCTCGGCACAGAACGCCTATGTCGGCGACAAGGCTCTCTGTGCCGTTGCGCGCGAATGGGGTGTTGAAACGGCTGCTGCGCCTGGCGGCGAAGTTGACCCCGGTCTCCTCCAGTTTACCCTTCTGGCACCGGGCACCGAATTCCGCCCTTTCAAAATCGATACCAACAGGCCGAATGAGCGCAAAGGCTGGGGTTGGAGGCAGAGTATAAGCAACCGTATCGTGTACGATGATCAGTTCGGCGAGTCGCGCGGAAAAGAGACGCTCCCATTCCAGGAGGAGAAGCTCGAAGGCGTTACCAAGGAGGTCGCGAGCGCCAACTTCGTCCGCGCTGTCGTGGGTGCTGTGTATGTTCATGCAGGCCGCATTACGGCACAGCAGTTCATCTCAGCCCACTTCCTGTCGAGACATCTGGACATGTCGAAGCTGTTCGACTTCCGGACTCCAACGCGCGACTTGTCGAAGCTGTGCGCTAGAGAAGGCTTTGAGGCGCCCGTCGCACGCCTTCTCGCCGAGACTGGTCGTTTGAGCAGACATCCCGTCTTTGTCGTGGGCGTATACAGTGGCAGGGACAAGCTGGGCGAGGGTGCAGGCGCGAGCTTGGATGAGGGTAGGGTAAGGGCTGCTGCGGCGGCGCTGAGGAGTTGGTACCTGTACAGCCCGCTGGAGGTTACGAAGCCGAGCGAGGTGGAGGTCACCAGGGAGGGCAAGACTTGGGTGCCAAACCTGGTGGACATGGGTGAGATTGTTGTGTAAATGAAGAAAAATGGATCGAACTGTCCCACAGCCTTGTATCGCACGGGCCTGTTGGGGAGAAGGACAAAGACTCGTTGCCGGACATGGAAACGAACACGCCTTACAAAGACACGAGGGACGATAGAGGGAAGGGTAAAAGGCGGGGGCTGGGGATGGGAAACTGCATATCTGTCCAGCCGGGGGTTTGTATCATATGTATTTTGCGCATTGTTGAAGGCGGTGCGCCTCGTCACCCCAAGCATCATTGGGCGGAGTAACTGTCTGAAAAATGTACTTTGTGAAGAAATCACTAGATGCGTAACGTCTGTTACCGTGAAGCGAGATGGTGATACTTGTACGGAGTAGAAGAGAATATGCACCTTTTCACCCATACCCAGGACTCGGGCTGGGAGCTAGGCAAGGAGTACTCTGCAGGGACTGCTTGTATCGTCCCCTGACGGTAGATCTCGTTACTTAGTTTGACAATATGATAGGACGTAAGATGCAAGAACATGGAAGCCAGCAGGCTTTTTGTTGCTGACATGGATCGTTAGAGCAGCGCTTTATTTCATTGACGGTGTGCAACGCGAGAAACAGGTTGCAATATCATCCTTCACCCTTTGTGAAAAAAATAACTTTTTCGGTGGCAGAGATCAATGAACGGAAACGTCTTGTCGTTGACGTATCCTTCAGACAGTCGGTCGCAAGCCTGGTACGAGTCAGGCAATCCCCGCCAAAGCAACCGCACTTCCGTCACCAATCACAAGAATTTCAACCTCGCCACTTTCACCCACACGGCCTTCTCTACGAGCAGTGCCATTGCGAGATCCGCCTCTTAGTCATTCACTTGACTGCCTATTTTTCGCACTTGTCCGGCCGAGCTACGCTATCGACCACTTCCCCGGCCATCGTCAACGCCGACACAAGTCCTAGGATAAAACCTAGTCAACCGGTCCATCGCATCTTACCACCCCCGAAACCGTCCGACCGCCACGATGCCGCCCAAGAAGAAGGGAAGCAAGAAGAACCAGCAGGACGACTGGGAAGCCGAGCTCGGCGAGACCATCGATCCCATAGCTGCTGCCACCGAGGCCGCGAAGCAGGATGAGGCCGACGCAGACAAAGCCGAAGATGAGGAGGTGAGCGGAGGCGGTGGCCTGATGGCTGCACTCCGCAAGAACAAGGGCAAGCGCGCGAAGAAGGGCAAGATCGCCGAGGATTTCGTCGAGGGCGAGGACCCCACCGCTGATGGCGCGAGCGGCACCCAAACTCCCCAAGACGCTGCTGTCGACTTCTCGTCCAAGGCGCCTGAGGAGGCGACCATGGATGACGAGGACGTCTTCGCACAGCCGGCCAAGAAGGGCAAGGGCGGCAAGGCTGCTCAGCAGAAGCAGCAGCCCAAGGAAGAAGACGAGGACGAGGATCCCGGCCGTATGAAGACTAAGAAGGAGAAGGAAAAGGAGAAGAAGGAGCGCGAAAAGCAGAGGAAGAAGGAGCAAGCCAAGAAGAAGACGGCTGCTCCCCCTCCTGCTCCTAAAAACGAACCTAAGGTCGAGGAGAAGAAGGCCGAAGCCGCTCCCTCTCCGGAACCCGCTGCTCCTGCGGGCGGAAAGAAGAAGAAGATCAACCCCGCGCTTGCTGCTCTCCAGAAGCAACAGGAAGAACGGAAACGTCGTGAGGAAGAACTTGCCCGCCTTGAGGCTGAGGAAAAGGCCCGTACGGAAGAGGAAGAGCGCCGGGCCGTTGAAGAGGAGAAGGCCAAGGAGGAGGCCAGAGCTGCCAAGAAGCAGAAAGAAAAGGAGAAGATTGAGCAGCTTAAGCGTGAGGGCAAGTATATGACGAAGGCCCAGAAGGAGGCTAAGGCGAGGGCCGATGCACGCATGAAGCAGATGATTGAAAGCGGTGCCAAGGTTGCGGGTCTTGAGGAGTCCGCAGAGAAGAAGAAGCCCGTTTACGAAAAGAAGAAGAAGGGCAAGAAGGCGCCAGAGACCCCCAAGGTTGACGCTGCCGAGGAAGAGGCCAGGCGGAAGCTCGAGGAGCTGAAGCTGGCCAAGGAGCAGGAAGAAAGAGCCGCTGCTGAGGCGGAGAAGGCGCGTAAAGATGCCGAAGCCAAGAAGGCTGAGGAGGAGGAAGACGAGCTTGACGACTGGGAGGCTGAGATGGACAAGGAGGACGGTGCTCCGAAGGCCGAGGAGAAGGTCAAGGACAGCTGGGATGCCGAGTCGGACGAGGAGAAGCCTAAGAAGGCCTCTGCCGCCGCTAACGGCAAGGGTGCCAAGAAGGCGGCGGCCTCCGACTCTGAGTCCGAGTCTGAGTCTGATTCTGACGAGTCGTCGGATGACGAGGAGACGACTACGACGAAGAGGGCCGAAGCTGCTCGCAAGGCTGCTGCTGCTAAGCGTCGCCAGGAGCAGCACGAGGCTGCACTTGCCGCCCGCTCCAAAGATGACTTGCGCTCGCCCATTTGCTGTATTCTTGGTCACGTCGATACTGGTAAAACGAAGCTGCTGGACAAGATTCGTCAGACCAACGTCCAGGAGGGCGAAGCTGGTGGTATCACTCAACAGATTGGTGCTACGTACTTCCCTCTCGATGCCCTCAAGAAGAAGACCCAGGTTGTCAACAAGGACGGTGCGTTCGACTTCAAGATCCCCGGTCTTTTGGTCATCGATACCCCTGGTCACGAGTCTTTCACCAACCTCCGTTCCCGTGGTTCGTCGCTTTGTAACATTGCCATCCTGGTTGTCGATATCATGCACGGTCTCGAGCCTCAAACCCTCGAATCCATGCGCCTGTTGCGTGACAAGAAGACCCCCTTCATTGTCGCGCTTAACAAGATCGATCGTCTGTATGGCTGGAAGAAGATCGAGAACAACGGCTTCCAGGAGTCGCTTGCCTTCCAGGGCAAGGCTGTTCAGAACGAGTTCCGCGATCGTCTCGAAAAGACCAAGGTCGCTTTCGCCGAGCAAGGATTCAACTCGGAGCTCTTCTACGAGAACAAGTCCATGGCCCGCTACGTCTCGCTTGTGCCGACCTCCGCCCACACCGGCGAGGGTATCCCTGACATGATCAAGCTCATCTCTCAATTGACGCAGGAGCGTATGACCAACAGCCTCATGTACCTGTCCGAGGTTGAGGCTACTGTCCTTGAAGTCAAGGTCGTTGAGGGTCTGGGTACCACCATCGATGTGATTTTGTCCAACGGTGTCCTGCATGAGGGTGACAGAATCGTGCTGTGCGGTACACAAGGTCCTATATCTACCAATATTAGGGCCTTGTTGACGCCGGCCGAAATGAAGGAGTTGCGTGTCAAGTCGGCGTACGTGCACAACAAGGAAATCAAGGCCGCTATGGGTGTCAAGATTGCCGCTGAAGGTCTGGACACTGCGGTCGCTGGTTCGCGTCTCATGGTCGTCGGTCCCGATGACGATGAGGAGGACATTGAGGAAGAGGTAAGAGCCAATAGTTGCGTACTTTTTACTGGGCGTAAATGCTAACTAGAGAATAGGTCATGGGCGATCTCGAGCAACTCTTGTCTCGTATCTCCAAGACTGGTCGCGGTGTCAGCGTCCAGGCTTCCACCCTGGGTTCGCTCGAGGCCCTGCTCGAGTTCTTGCGCGTTTCCAAGATCCCCGTCGCCAACATCTCGATTGGTCCCGTCTTCAAGCGCGATGTCATGCAAGCGGGTATCATGCTGGAGAAGGCGAAGGAATACGCGGTCATGCTCTGCTTCGACGTACGCGTGGACAAGGAAGCGCGCGAATATGCCGACCAGGTGGGCGTCAAGATCTTCGAGGCCGACATTATCTACCACCTGTTCGACGCGTTCACGGCGCACATGAAGGAGCTGGAAGAGCAGCGCAAGGAGGAGAGCAAGATGCTGGCCGTGTTCCCATGCGTGCTGCGCCCGGTGGCCGTCTTCAACAAGAAGGACCCCATTGTCGTGGGTGTCGACGTGGTCGAGGGCAACCTCAAGCTGCTGACGCCCATTTGCGCCGTCAAGGAGAACCCGACCACCAAGCAGAAGGAGGTCATCCAGCTCGGCCGTGTCGTCGGCATCGAGCGCGACCACAAGCCCATCCAGGTCTGCAAGAAGGGCCAGCCCTCCGTTGCGGTCAAGATCGAGGGCAACAACCAGCCGCTTTATGGCCGTCACCTCGAGGAGAAGGACACGCTGTACTCGCTTATTAGCCGCCAGAGCATCGACACGCTCAAGGACTTTTACCGTGCCGATGTCAGCATGGACGAGTGGGCGCTGATTAAGAAGTTGAAGGTTCTGTTTGATATTCCTTAGGTGGGTTTCATGCATGATGATGATGACGATGGTGGTTGTGGGTGGGGGTTAGGTTGGGTTAGGCAGTGGGTTGTAGCTATGAATGAGGGTTGCGCGCGCGGTAGGATATGGAGATTGCATGGTTGGATGTGTGCTCGCGGAATGCAAAAAGACCGGATAGCATTGGTTGTGAATGGTATATTGTTTCCTCTCTTTCTCCTCCCTTTCCCTTTGCTGCGAGTGTCAGTGATGAATATACTCGTAGCGACCCGTGACAAGCTTTGAAGTGGGCCGTTCTGGTACGTGAATTAAGAAACAGGATCCATCCAACGAACCAGCGAGGCCGGGCCGGTTCTATTGTAGCCGCTTTGACAGCGGTCATGCAAACAGGCATAATGTAGAAAGCTTCACCCAGAGGCGCCTTGAGTAAGTGATCGTTAAAAGTTCATGGTAAACCGACCCAAACCAAGGTTTATTCCTTCATTTAGTGATTTTGGTGATGATTGTCATCATAAATTGGGGGTGGAAACGGTGATGATGATTATCATAGACCGTGTCGGAGGCAAGAGAAAGTGGTGAAAATGGTGATGGTCATCACCATTAACCCTGACAAACGGCGATGATTGATGTCACTAATTCGGAGGAATGATGGTGTTCGTCACCAAAATCGCAAAAAGCAGAAACAAACCTTGGGTTGGGTTCTCTCGTATTGGCAACTCATTCACAATCTACCTCTTTCGCAGTACACTACACTACAACTCTCTTGTCTCACCGGTTTCCTACTCCTTTCCCTTAACCTCCCGCTCCCACTCCTTTCGCACCTCACCCACTAGCCCTTCCTTTGTAAGCACATCCACCGCCGTAGCCGCCAATCCCTTCCCAACTCTCAAAGCTAAATCAAAAGCCTCCCTCGTGCCACTCGCCTTCTCAAACTCGGGACTATGCGGCCCATTCCCACTCACCCCGGGCCTGATCCAAAACCCCGGACTCAAGCTCGGAAGCACATAGCTCACGTCGCCCTGGTCCGTACTCGCCATGGTGCGGCCTCTGACCTCGTCAACCTCGGGGTCGGGAATTGCGCCACCCAGCCGGTTGAAATGCTGTCGGTAGCAGCGGCCCAGCGTGCGGTTGGGGACGTGGTCTTTGTACGCGCCTTCGGGCGTCGTTTTAAGGGCTGCGCCGGTGGCGGTGGCCGCGCCCGCGAAGCACGCGTCTACTTTGCGTTTGAGCTCTGCGAGCCGCGTGGAGGTGTTTGCGCGCACGACGAAGACGCCGGCCGCGTAGGCGTGGATGATGTTTGGTGCTAGGCCGCCGGAGGTGATGTGTCCTTGGATTATGTCGCCGGGTTGGGTTTGCTGCCGTAAGACTGAGAGCGCGTTGTAGGCGGTGATGAGTGCGTCTAAGGCGTTTATCTGTGCGCGGTTTGTTAGTGCGTGTCTGCGTTGTGGGGTGGAAATGGAAGCGCTGTTGCATACTCCGAGCCAAGGGCTTGCGGCTGCGTGCGTTTCGCGCCCGAAGTACTCGACTTTGAAGCGTGTGTATGCGGCCGTGTGCATCAATGCCGTATCGGGGGCGGTTCCGGGATGGGAGATCAGGTTGATGCCGACTTTGTGGTCGCGATAGGCGCCAGCTTCGATGAGTTTGATCTTGCCGCCGCCACCTGGAGTCGAGGTTAGTACGAGCATTAAAGATTCTTCTGAGATAAAATCCCGTATGTCTTGAAGAAAAGAAAGAAACAATCGAATTCAATGAAAACGGTTTGAAAGTGGGTTGGATCCGAACCGACTCTCACCCAAATCCTACCCGGAGACCAACCCATCGACTCACCTTCTTCAGCCGGCGTCCCAAACAGCACAACCTTTCCCGGCAGGTCCTCCTCTTCCATCACCCTCGCCGCAGCCAAAGCCCCCGCCAACGACGCTATCGCAATCAAGTTATGCCCGCAAGCATGGCCAATCTCAGGCAGCGCATCTAACCCGCCCCGCACAAAAAGTCAGCGCAATCCCTCACCCAATCCCCTCGCAACATACCCATCTCCGCATTGAACGACACCACTGGTCCCTTCCCTTTCCCTTTCCCCTCAAACACAGCTACAAAAGCTGTCTCTAGCCCATACGCCGAGCGCTGCACCTGCCAGCCATCTTGCGTCTCCAGGAACGCTGTCAGCGCAGCATGCGCGATCTTCTCCTTGAAGCCCAGTTCCGGGTGATCGTGGATCTTGACGTTGATGGGCCAGAGGGCGTCGGCCAGGCCGTCGACGTACGCGCTGATGGCGGCGAGATGGTCAGTGGCGTCCGAGCTGGGCGTGCTCGATGGGTTGTTGATGAGGATGAAGCCGTCGTCTTCGAAGGCTTCCATTGTGGTTGATGCGGCTATTGTTCTTGGTAAAGTCTTTTTGCCCTTGCTCTTTCTTGTGGGATAGGTTTGAGATGTGGTGGTGTTTATCTATGCGGGAGCGGAGAGTGGGGGAGCTTGAGCACGGACGGATCGCTCCCCGCAGGTCGTGCAAGGTCCAGGCAGAAACGTAAGTCGTGGCCGATCTACGGCATAGTATAATGGAGACTGAATTTGCCACACCTATTAATGGTTGCGATGTCGTCTTGAGATGGTGAGATTAGGCTTAAGAGGTGCCGCGAGATCGAGTGGATCGAGGGGTGAGATTAGGCTCTAGAGATCCCGCGAGATCGGGTCATGGAGGCTGTGTAGTGCGCATCAGGCTGAGGCTGCTTAGAATTTAATTGCACTTGTACTGCATTTCGAACATAAAGTCCAGATCGGTTCATGTTTACTTCACTTCATGTTGATAAATCGGTCGTTGTTGAGCGCTTCAACTTCGAATCTAGATTTCTGTTTTCTCAGCCCAAAATGCCAGCCATCACCAAAAGAACCCTCTCTACGAACGACGAAATAAACATAGTCTTCGGGATTCTCGCAACAGTTTTAGCTTTCATTACGATTATTCTCGGCATTATTTCATGGCGCCTCCAAGTCCGCATGGCCCGTAGTTAGTCTCTCTGAAATCCCACGCCTAACTGTTCACTGATCCACAACAAGGCCAACGGCATGAGGAAGGGGTGTATGAATTTGCAGTACGCTTAGGTCGCGCGCGCCCTTGAATCCAGCTACACCATGTCAGGGCGGGCAACATCAGGGGCACTTACATAACCTTACAACAACTCGACATGTGACTGCGAATAATATGGGATACTCTTGGTCCACACGTGGCCCATACCCCGGAAACCGGAAACATACGTTCCGACGCTTTGGGAGTCACGAGATTGGTGTGGTGGTGTGGTGGTGTGGTGGTACAAAGTGTTCTGATAGGACAAGATATAAATCTATATAGAGCACCAATCACATTTAATCAGCTGCTCTGTCCAATCATCACCCTCGTTAAATATTAACTATCTGCCAATCAACGAACTGTTCCTATGAGATTGCAAAGCAGATGATCCGCCGCAATCATTGGTAGTTAACAAATCTTTGTATTTCCTTCGTCGCTTACATACTCCGCCGTGAGACGGTTAAGGCAGATTCTGCGATGTATGGCTTTGGATCCAAGTTGAGTGTGAGCCTTGACCGGATTTATCTGGCCAGCTTTGGGCGCGTGTGCAGGCGACATGCAGCAAGATGCCAAGAAGACCAGTTACTGATTGTCGAACCGGTATTCTTGGTTCCGCGAGCGAGATGATGACTGGAATTAAGTGATGGACCGATGAAGGGCTGCTAGAATTCGCCCAGCTACCCGCAACTAACCATTTCTGGGGCGGGGAAAGGGGATGGCAAATTGACGGCGACATGGGCAAATTGACGGCGACATGGGCAAAATGACAGAGGCATGGGCAAATTGGCGGCGGCAGGCGGTGGCAGGTTCTAATGCGCGTATTGGGGCTATGTCCGTTCAAGTCCTCCAATCATTTCATCTTGAGCCCTGCGGGTTTGCAAGGGTCTTACTGAGAGCGGAAAAGCAACATACTTGCAGGGGCTAAGACTGAGATTGGCGGCGGGGGACTAACTAGGTGTCAAACGAACACTTCGCGCGAGCGCCGCATAGATATATAAGCTGATTCCTCGAGTCTTCGCTCGAGCATCTCATTTAGTATACCCCCAAAACTTAAACTCGCATCAAGTTTCTTTACCAACATGCCAGCAATCGCGCAAAGAGATCTGACAAAAAATGACGAAATCAACATCGCCTTCGGCGTCGCAGCAGCCATTCTATCATTCATCTCCATCATCGTCGCTATAACAACATGGCGGCAACAAGTCCGCTCAGCCCGAGCAAGTAAGCATCGCACTATACCTAGGACCAAGCCTAGAATCCACCTCCTTCTAACCTATACCCAGACCAACACCACAAAGACGGAATCTACGAATTCGCTATAAGCGTGAGACGCCGCTAGTCCACGCAGGCGCACCAAGCCTAAAACCGGCTAGCAAGCGGACCGACATCCGGAACCGCTCCGAGCCTGTATCCGTAACGGGTTAAACAACGACGCACAACTCCCCTCCTTGTCGATGAATAATGCGTGTGTGGGCATCGCTATGTGTTTTCCCATGCAAGATCTTTGGCGGATTGGCTATTGGAATAAGTGAAGAACTGCATACATTCTACCCACGTCCTACCTGTGCAGGGTTGGTCTCGCGCACGGCCTTGTGGTCGACACTCTATGGGATTGACGACCTAGCCATGGGTACGGAGTTGGGCGTTATAGACAGAAAGTAGACGGCTAGAATAGGATGCTCTTCCACCATCACCAAATCTAGACACCGACCAGAAACAAGCTACTGAAGCCTGGCCGACTCATCATCATCATCATCCAAATCCCAGCATCATCTAATCTAATCCCTCAGTCTCCTCACCCGCTCATCAAGCAGCCACCTCGCCCACGCTCTATGCAGCCGCCCCGTCCACGCGGGAATCGTCTTCTGGCGCTCGCCCTCCTCATCCACAACCTCATAATCATGCGCACTCGCGAACCTCACCTCAACCATGCCCTCCTTATCCACCTCGCCCACGCCCAGCTCATGCCTCCCGCCACTCATAAAGCGCCAGGGATAGCCCCAGCGCGCAAGCGCTTCGCACGCGCCCCTCGCCCGCGCCGGAAACGCCCAACTCAGCAGCAACGGCTGGGCGCGGCCGGGCGCGCGTACGACGCCGAACACGCCGTTCAGCAGCTCCTGGCCCGGCTGGAAGCCGCACTCGCCGGCGTCGCCGGCGTCGCGGTTCAGCAGTTTGCTTCCGGCGGCGGCGAGGCGGCCTTCGCTGCGCAGACCCCGTGACTGCAGGAAGAAGCGCGCCCAGGCGTCTTCGGGGGAGGTGGCGTTGGGCGGGACGGGCGTGGCGCAGTGGCAGCCGTCGCGGCGCGCTTTCTCGAGGAGGGTGCGCAGCGGCACGCGCGCGCCGTACACGTCGATGTGCGGCGTGTGTTGTGTATGCGGGTTGGGTGTCGCGCGTAGAGAGGTGGTGCTGTGCGTTGTTGGGTCTAGGGCGGGGTATTCGGTTTCGAGGCGGTGGAGGGTGTAGTAGGCGTAGTAGGCGGGTGGGGCGGAGACGAGGGTTGTGATGAGCAAGGCGCGCGTGCGTGGCATTTTGATTGGAGTGACTTGGTGGCTTTGGTTGTGGTTGTGGTGTTGTTTACGTTGCTTACCTTATATATACGCGTAGTGCGGGGTGATGGTGAGGGGAAGCGGTGTTGGTGGAGTGATTACCTAGGTGATGTGCAGCAGGCGTTGCGACCCGGAGCGATCCCTTGCCAGGCGCCGGGCACGTGCTCACTTTCCAGCCTCACCTAGTCATCATCAGCATCATCAGCATCATCAGCATCATCAGCATCATCA